CCTCCTCAAAGCGACGCAAGATGCAGCCGGTGGAGCGGTTATGACGACGAGATAAACTCACAGCCACAACGTTTCTGTTATCGTACTGGTCTTGTCCCGTGGATATACTACCAATATGTTGACGGCTGGACCGCCCTGACATATATATATATATATATATGTATATGCATGTTCATCTCTATTTTTCCCGCATATTTCAAAAGCAACCGCCGGCAATTCTGTCAGGGCTCACGGCGGAGCGATTGACGATTGGCGACGAAGGACGGCCCCGAAAATAAGCGGCGTCGAACCAAAATTCTCTTGTTCTCTTTTCTTTTTCCGCACTTGACAACTTTCTACCCGCCGAGCTGCATAAGACTAGGGAACCGCGATGCATCTCGGAATTAGAGAGGGCCGGGCAGTTGAGGCCTTCGAATCCCTGCACCAAAGGAAAGAAAATATACCTTCAATCGGATTAGTTTAACGACAAGACTCCGTTTGTGCATTATCTAATCCTATTTATTTCCCAATTGCCTGGCGATCCAATTTGTTCTATCGCAAGCGATGAAAAAAACAACTGCAAGACGAATTGGCCCACTTGCCAGAGCGAGATGTATCACAAGATCAGGGGTTATCGGAGAAGAAGAAGAAGAAGATGATGATGATGATGATGATGGCGAAGGCGCCAAGTTGCCTTCCCTCTAACCTTTTTCCCACAGAAAGCATGGCGATATCAAAAACGGGGAATCAAAAGCCGTAGGGACACCTCTATTGAACGGTATCCAAGGCTAGCTTTCAACCCAGGTCAGCCCGCGTTGAAGTCAGATACAAAAGAAGAGAAAATTCAAAATGGGATATAAATGAGCGAATGAGGAGCCAAAACAGGGGGAATCATTCTATGTACGTTATTGCGCCGCTAATTTGCGAAACTCAAATGATCAGGGGCGTTTTCGTCATAATCATGCCACGGATGGTTCCTCGCCAGGTCGTTCCATTTCATAGAATAATAGGTATACTTCTCGCTGCATCCCTAAAACGTCACTTATTTTGCACTCCTTTACCTTTTCATCGCTGATCCGCCACCAACGTTCCTGCTGGCGCTTTTTTCGTCGGAATAACGACGCGTCGCCGTACCCTGACTTGTGGTTCTGTCCCTTAGAGCTCGTTTCGAGTCTGGTTGAGGGTACGGGCGCTGGCAATGATCTAGGTGGTATCCTGTTATTCGAAGAGACAGAGGGTGGTCGGTCCGTGGAGGTTGGTGTAAGTGGCCTCCTTTGGTTCAGGGATGGCGATGGCACTGGTAAAGAAGAACTGGAGACGGAAGCTGAAGATGAGTCGGAGATATTGAGATGACTTAAGTCCGCATCGCACGCCTTATGGAGAGTGTGGATTCTTGGACTGGGCATGGCTGAGGGGTTTTCACTCGCAGCTCGGCTTTGAGCATAGGACCTAAAGGCATCCGGCGTCGAAAAAGGTGCATAGACGTGGTTCCGTCGGAAAGATTCATAGTGTCCACTATGATGGCTCCCTTTGTGGCAGACAATTCCTAACAATCTGTACCAGTTTTGGTTAAGAATCCCGCCCAGTGGCAGGCGTTCCGGAAACGAAACCTTGGCCGCGTTTTTCGTCGACGAACTCTGGTCAAATATAGACCTCGATAAATGAATAGCAAGGACTGTTGGAAACTTAGTGACCCTCATATGCCGTGCTATCTTCCGTCGTGGTATACTCTTAGCATCAGGCATCACAACTCCTTCTAACGGTACCTCCGGGTCCTCGTCAATTGCATGTTTGAGGAGCGATATCTCGTCTTCTATTGCTTTCATTTCTCGCCGAGAAGTTGCATTTTGCAGCGCCATCGTTTTGAGATCAAGCGTATATATTAACTGGCATTTGTCGCATCGAAAATCATCAATGTACTCGGTCTTTAGAAGCCCATCAAAGCACGCACTAAGAGTGGTGGTGCTCTTCTGGGGCACTTGCAACGTAACGTTGACAAAGGAGGTTTGGTTCGGTTTGTATTTATAATGACAGAATTGGCATTCCACCTGCGACTCAAGCATACCTTCTAGAGGAAACCCAACGTCCTGCTTGACTGCTTCTTTCAATGGGGTGCCGGCCATCAACGAATCTGCAGAATCAACGTCCATACCGTTGGGCAGAGACATGTGCAGCTTCTCTGCATCTAATTCAACCGATTTCGATGACCCATCCACCATCGGAGGCACACCAAGGAGTGCACCACCTCTTTTTCGAGCTTTTACCCCGGCGTGATACTCGTCGCACAGTCGCTCGGCTACAACCTGCAAAAACTCGTGCGCATCTTGTTGGCTCCGACTAATCCGTGTTCGAAACGCGAATTCCAACGCCTGTATAAATCCGCGGGCGGAGATAGTTTTGCGATAGATCGGCCTTTCATTCAGCTTGTCCAACATCTCTTTAAGCGCCCTCGTTACGGGCGCCAGCTGCATCTGCCTGACGCTCTCCGGCGTCCGCCCTCTGGGCACATCTTCGTCATCGGGCAAGCTCTCATATATTTCCTTCCCTTCGAGGTCCCTTCGATGTAACTCCCTTATCAAGTATACTCGTAACTCTCCCAAGCCCGCAAGCGCCTGGAGGACGGAGTTGATGAAGCAGTCATTCGCGGGATTGGACAGCCCGACAATGCCCTTTTTTCTGCTACTAATCGTCGACTCGTCGCCATCAATCGTGAAATTCGGCCCGAAAACGTAGAAGAGGGTAATCGCCGCGAGGGAAGCCCCCGCAGCATAAGCTGCTATCGTTGCGGGTTTTTCCGGCATAAGACAGTATCTCGGAGATTAGGTGGCCATGCTTCTCAGGGGAGGTGAAACGGAGTAGTGTGAAAATCGTAATCTGATGTATCCTTGGAATTCAATTGATCCCCTGGTGTGTTGAGGCCTCGTTAGTCACTGCAACCGAGTACTTCGTACTTCTGTGGAAAGACCCCGGAGTCCGGAGTTGGTAACTTACGTCTGAAAGTATTCTAACGGGGCGGTGGCGGAAAAATCGGCAGCGAGAATGCCGAGCAAAGGCGGGTTCGGTGACAAAATAAACCACGGGAATAAATACGTTAACTATAACCACACCAATCTGAAAGTTCAGATTTCTGGAATAGAGGTAAATCAGAATATGGAACGATACACCCCCTCACAATCCTCTTCTATCTCTGTTAATCTACTCCGTACCCTTCTCCTGTCTTCTTCTATTCCCGCCACCCCGCAGCGAATCCAGGCAGCACCATATCGAGCGAGGACTCGTGATGTTTGCTGAACTGGTTGAGAGGTATCGTTGGTGAGGCTATCAGCCCGTACACCTCAACGAATTGAATCAGAGGTTTGAGCTTAGTTATTATTGGGAGGTTGGGCATTTAGCCAATTCTCGATGAGATAGCTTTGGATTTGACCAGTCATGAGACCTCTTTCCAGAAGAAGGTCGTTCCCCACAGATAGCTTGCCATGGAGATACTGAAAGCAGATGTTTCAGAATAGAGCTTGATATTCTCCTTTATTTGTTCACTCACAGTCTAGACCCCCTGGCAAAAACGCATGTTCGTGGGCTGTTGGATCGTTTTAAGCACGGTGGCGCAATGGAAACACACTTCTGTCTTGTGCTTCCAGTGATGACGCCTGGGTCAAGCAATGAAGGCCACACCAAGCAGCTGATGGGCGGGCTAGTATCAAACAGGCTCTTTACTCTTGATTCCCCCCCATATATTGTGGCGTTGTTTGCTGCGGTAGATCCGCACAGGCATAAAAGTTGGTGGTCTACAAACTTGGTGCTGATGCACAACTTGCAGATTTATATGTTTTTAATTGCTGGTGCTGTGCACAGCAAAACCACTTCACAGCCTTCTGAGTTCAGTCCTGTGTGGTACATCAAAATATTTGGTGGCTTCAGAGTGGCCTGGGGGCAGCTGAATGATACTTCTCCACAGCCTTGGTTAAGGAGGGAAGTATGATATGCCCGTTGTCATATTGGTTCCAAACTGGTGTAGAAACTCATATCAACCTAACTGCATGGAATTAACAATGTGAGCAATGGCCAGCAACACCACATGACTTGTGTGCAGCTATGGTCTTGCCTTCATTCACAGTGGAATTAACGAGCAATGATGCCAGCCTTTTTAGCAGGGCCAATATTTTTACATATAACCCAATGATATCAACTATGCTTTGGCATGTAAAACCTGATATAAATTTAGCGGGATTGTTCCAGGAACAGTTCCGTACGGATTGAAAGAGCTGCCCATACATTGGGAGGTAGTACTTGGTCTCCCAGTTTCAGGTTCCCTTTCAAGCATTCGGTCCAGGGCAACTCGTAGGGTTGCTGCAAAATCAGATTCTATGCTTCTGGCGACAGTTATGGTCCCCTACTCCTCTAATCTCTGATACACATTTTCGAGCACCCCTTTGTTCATGGCTTCAAAGGACAACAGGCCGCCCCGGTCGTAAAGCCTTTCTTGCTACCGCCTGATTTCAAGAAGCTGACGTGGGAGATTCTTCAGGTCTGGAGAGCGGCTGTGACTTGCTGGATCGTATTTCTGTTGGATACTTAGCCTGGCCCTCACATGATTGCCAATGATGAGCTGGCAACACTGGACAAACAGTTTGCTTCCCAGGTAGTGATTGATCAAACTTCATTGCAACGAAGCCTTCCCAAGAAAGCAGATTCTAGAGGGAAGACTTCATGCATAACTACATGACATCCCAGCAGAAAGGTAGCTGGTAATGATGACAGAACAAAGAGACAAATGTGTTGACTGTTGTCTGGATTATCCTGGGTCCTTCTATCCGGAGGATAAGCAATATCCAAAATACTGATAGCCAATATTGCTAACACGCATGGGATTTTATTGGTGTTGATATCATAATATCATGATTATTTAGTCATGCAAAAGGGAAAAGACTTTTGGAAAGCTCAACGAAATTCGTAAATATCCATCCCATCTTCGGAAGTTCGAGACTATATCGGAGCAAACCTGGTGAAAGGTCCTCCACAAACTCTAGGACTCCATAGCAAAAGAATATAAAACTACGAGAGCGGAACCAGATTTCACGACCGGGCAATTTCCAGATCCTGTTGGCTAATTTAAACAGTTTTTTGACCAAATACCACACATAGAAAAACGGACTGGCTCAGCACACATGGCTGTTTCCTGCTCAGTCCAGGCAGAGCAGACCCGTATGTTTCCTGAAAGGGACACTATCACTTAATATTGCACAAAATCCCACAGATCCCTTCCATCCAGCTTGATACCCCCAGATAAGTTTTCACTAATGCACCCAATATGAGAAATATCCGTACAACAAAAAGACAATAAAGGCATTGAATTTCAGAGAGACCTTGCTCACGGGCGGGTCAATAGCGTCGAAATAGGGTCGAAAAATAGACAAACGAAGTCAAAGGTTTGCCGATCTAGCGACTTTGAGTATCTGAGCCCGCGGATCATGGAAAGTAATATGAGTAAAATATTCCGTTGCTTCTGATACAAGCCACATGCCGCTCAGGCCTTGGTTCGGCTCCGGGTTCTGCTTCCAATGCCATCGGTGCTTCGTGGTGTCGGAGTCTTCTGTTGTTTCTTCGCTTCGCCCTTCTTAGGACGGCCAGGTCCCCTCTTCTTCATGCCGTTTGCCGCATCGACGTTCTCTCTGTTTGGAGATGCCGGTTTTGCCTCTCCATCAGGTTGCTTCTCCGTTTCAACCTTCTGTTTCTTTTCAGGAGGCCCTTCAGACGTCGCTTTGCCTTCTTTGGCGGTTCCAGATTCATCATGTTCGCGCTTTTCGCCGATTGCCTTTTCTCCTTCAGTTGCCTTCTCTTTCTCCTCAGGCTGTGCCGCGTCACCGTTCACTTCGATGGGCTTTTCGGGCTGCGGGGTTGCCTCCTTGTTTTCTTGGGCATCCCTGGCGGGGACTGCGAAATGAGACGATTAGCCGGTATAACATGAACTAATTACGTTCTATACAGACGCGGTGCTTTCTGGAGAGGTCTCGTGCTCCGGGTCCCGCGTGGTTTATATATAGAATAAGCTCGAAATTGAAAAGGATAAACAGTCATCGATGGAAGTTGAGTGATAATATGTAATGACAAACTGCCACAAAAAACTTACCGGGCTGGGCCACCGGGCCTCCGTTGACAGCTTCGGCTGACATGTTTGTATGTAGCTTTCTTGGTAAGCTAGTGGAGCGCGTTGTGGAGAGTAAATAGACAAATCGGGGCGAAAGAATAGGCCAATTGAGATAGCACTTTGGATTCAATGTGTGCGCAAACGATGGAACAATCAATGCGAAAGGGATGAAAGAGGACAGGAAGGATAAAACAGGAGATGGGTTGTGAAGAGACTGGGTGCGAGGTCTGGGGGAGCTGATGTCGCTTACTGATGCGAATGCCGGAAAGGCAAGCTTAATCCCGACACTAATGATTATTAAACCCGGTACAACCTGCCGACGAAGAGCTTGGCGCTGGGCCTTACCCCAACAACACGCTGATCCATACGGAGAGGTCGCCTGCAGAGTTGGAGGTGGAAAGTTAATGTTGGCTAGGTGTATCCAGACATTTTCATAGATGATCCAATTCGTGCTTCACGGCCCGAGTGCTCATTGAATAAAAACAGTTCTTCCGGTCTGCTTGCACCACCCACTGGGGAATAGGGGAGAAATATATACACCGGAGAGGCTGGAAGAGGTATACATGTATGTACCTAATGTACACGAGACTTGGTCTGCTTATTAAATACAGCGAGGCCAATAGAGCGAGATAAACACCATAGCACCGGGCGGGGGGTGGGGTGGTTAGTTATGTCCTCAAGCAGATGTCGCCGAAAGTTTCCTAGGGTCTTCCTCTCCCGCAACAGCCTAGAAATGGGCGATGTCCTTATGTGCCCTTAGGTGTGAAGGTGGAAGTGAGACTTCCCGGGGTATTATTCATAAATCGACTGAGATTCCGTCTCTTGAACATCTTATCAGGTAGGGAGCAAGCTGCTGTGTATATCGTTGACCGTTGAAGGGACATCTTGATTGCCCTTTTCAGATGGAATATCCTTGGAGTTGGAAGGTCTCCGATCTGGCAAAATGTCCTTTGCAATTAACATAAGTCTTGATGCTTGGGTGTATTTTTCCTGCTGAATACAAAGCTGAGCGGCGTCAAGATACAGCCGCAAGAGTCCCGAAGAAAAGCGTTTCGTGTGCGGTTGGATACGAGAAAAAGACTCTGCATGTTTTAATGCAAAATCGGGATTTGGATTGATAGGATGATAAAGGCCTAGAAGCGCTTTCCAAAAATATGTCCTGATCCTGGCGGATGGCGCCCCTGCATCTTCAAATATCTGGCTGAAATCATCGAACAGCTGGACAGGGATGTTTTTGGCCTTTGCCCCGGAATCCGAACATATCCAAGAGACAAGGCGAGAAGCAATGAGTAACATGTAAGGCGGGAGGCCATTGGCGTTCTCGCGAGTTGTGGTACGGCAGGCTTCCAAGAAAAATTGTAAAACGGGGACAATGCCATCACCATAGTTGTATTCAGCCCAGACGTATGCTTCGAGGATAATAAACTGGGGTGAGTTTGTGAACTCTTCCTTTAATTGAGAGATGCATGGTGTTTGACGGCGAATTTCTTCTAACCACCTCACCAACGTGTTCCGATGGGATCCATTGACTAAATAGGGCATTGCGGATCGGAGAGCAAGCTGATCCCGAAAAAATTTGGCCTTCAGCTGGTCATCGGCAGATAAAAACCATGAAACAATTCTATGACCAATTTTTGAATTCTTCATTCTAGCGCGCATTTCCGCTCGTGGGAGACCGTTAATTTGGAGACGATGCCGACGGAGGCAGTCATGGAGGGTATTAATATTGGCAACTCCAGAGGCTATGGCACGATCCAATGCCACGATAGGGTCTTCTGTTGATGACCCCGACTGAACATTTTGCGTCTGCCTTAATGCCGGTCGGTGCGGAACGGTACTGAACAACGGGTGGTCAAGGATGGATCTCAAATGCTGATCTGCGTTGATAGTGCGGTTGGGTTTGCTGGAATTCGCGGCATGACCTTGTGGTTCTGCCGACTGCACGGGGGGGTGCTCGCGGTCGAGTTGGCGACGGAATGACGATGTAAGAACGGCGAGGAGCTGTTGAGATTCTCGTTGGGTTCGAGGGAGGGGAGGGTGTATTTTAGAGAAGAGCTTGAATGACTGGGGGGCGGTGATCTTCATGGTATGGTTGTCGGAGAACAATAAAAGGTGCTGGTAGAAGGGCTTTGGTCACACCCATCTAAAGAGTCTGACACCCGTTTCCAGATTCACGGTCAACGTGCACATGATGTGATGCCATGGATAGCCATCAAGTTCGGAGGGGGCGAGCCAAGACGTTCCTGAGTCAGCTTCAACCCTGCCAACCACCCCAGAGCTTCCGTTCCTCTGGGGCCAAATGCTCTGGCCTCAAAACGCCCACAAATCGCAATCCGTCGGTCACCGCAAGCAAGGATGGGCTACAAAGGTGCGTAGTGAGTAAAACCGATATCAGCTCACCGTAACACCGATTCACTAATGCTCCCGTCGATCTCGTCTCGTCTCGCCAGGCGAAAAGTCAAAAGCAGCCTCTCGTAAGGTTCGCTGCAGCCGCTTCCAGATGTGGCTTGTGCAAAGACACTTGTAAGGCAAATTACGACAATACGGGGCGGCAAATCCGTAGACTTGTTGCACATATTGCCTGTACTTCCGCCCGCTAGCCCCCATTCTCGTCGCCTTTCGAGCCTCCCGTACCAAAAACGAAACGCGCGAAACCTCGCCTTCCAAGTTGCCTTTCAAACTTCTTCCTCCTCTTCTTCCAAACGTCCTCTCCTTCGCCTTGTTCTCCCAATCTGCCTTTTCCTTTTTTTACTTTTTTATTCTTTTGACATCTGACTACCTGGTCTAAGCTATTTCGCTTGACCTCCGTATAGGGAGCCTTGTTTGCTTCCTTATTTTTGCGAGCTGTTTTGTGCTTGAAAATCTCTCCCTCCTCCAACCACCTATCTCGAGCTCATCTACCCGCTCACACGACCCCCTCCAATCTACCACATTCTCGATACGCAAACTCATATTTTCCTCCTTTCCTTTAAGTCATCTCTTTTTTTGTTACATTGCTCCAGAATGTCGGAATCCCACGCTCCTCGTGGCAGAGGTTCAGCTCGTGGTGGTAGGGGCGGTCACAACTTCAGAGGCGGTCGGGGTGGTGCCAGAGTAGCAAAAGCAGCTAACCAGGACAATGTTGTATCACCATCATTTGAAGATGAAGGAGAAATCGGTCAGCTGAAGAAAAAGTACTCGAGCAGTTTGCCTATGATCAAGGAACTGTTTCCCGACTGGACAGATGAAGATTTGGTATTCGCCTTAGAGGATGCTGATGGAGATCTCGAAACAGCAATTGAGCGCATTTCTGAAGGTTTGACTCCCCACTCCTTGGCGTCGACAAAAGAGATTCATCGCTAAAATGGTGCTTTTTGAATAGGTAATGTCTCCCAGTGGGGTGAGGTAAAGAAAAAACACGCCGATCGGCCCCGAACCAAGCCAAAAGAAGCGCAGCCTCCCGCAACCGAAGCAGCTGCACCCTCATCCCGCGGTGGCCGTGCTCGTGGAGGATTCGATGGTCGTGGACGTGCCCGTGGCGACCGTGGACGTGGAGGCCGTGGCGGCAGGGCTGCAGCCCACGTCAATGGAGCAAGGCCCGACAAACCTGCAACTCAGGGTCCTGAACTCCCCGTAACCGCACCAGTTCCACCAGACTCTTGGACCGTCGATGGAACTGCAAAGGAAGCTGCTGACAAGGCTACCCAAGATGCTACCAAATCCACAACGGAGCAACCACAAAAGCCCAGCTTGATCCCTGAAGGAACGAAAAAAGGATGGGCTAGCTTGTTTGCAAAACCCACCCCGCCTGCTCAGAAGAACCCACCACCACCAGCTCCCACTGCTCCAATTTCAGAGAACGTTCCCGAACCTGTTCCACAGGAACAGCCAAGTGTGCAGCAGCCTCCCCAGCCTGATGGAACTCAATTAGAAGAGCCCGCCCGGATCACCGAGCCAGCTGCGCCCGAGGCCCAGATACCTAAAACCACGGCAATTGAGCCAAGCGAAGAAGCAGCTAAGCCTCCGCAAGACCAAGTTCAGATTGAACCACAACCAACAACTGCTGTTGATGCGGGTGTGAGCACCATTGATGACCAGCAACCCCAGCAGCAGCCCCCCTTACAGGAACATCCACTGCGCCCTGCCGTTCCATATACTCCTACAGCTCCTTACAAAACCACTCCTGGCCGCTCTCACTTCCAGCGTCGTATTTTGGATCAACAGGAGGCAGTCGTCATGCCTGGCAATCATGCTGTCGATCGTGCTGCTGTCCAGTTTGGCAGCATGGGATTAAATGGATCGGCTGAAGATGCTGACGTCGATGAACAAAGAGAAGAACCTGAAACACGCCCGCAACCTCCCCAGCATTCCCCCATCGCTCCTCGTGCCTCTCTTCCCCCCTCAACCCGCGCTCCAATTCCGGGTGAAACTGCTGCCCCTGCCCCTCGAGCTGCGCCCGGACTTCCTCCAGTCCCTCCCACTACTGCCGCGGATACTTCTTTCAATGACTTCAACCGATACGGAGAGGCCCAAAAACCATACGACCCGTTCGGCCAACAAGTCGAACAGCCCCATCCTCAAAGCCAGGAACCCTTTTCCAATCAAGCCACGTTGCCATCCCAACCTACAGTTACTACCGGTGCCGACTATTCTGCGTTTTACGGTGCTGATCAAACTCGTAACCCTTACTACTATGGTGGTTACGGCCAACCGCAGGAAGTTGGTACCCAACGAACTGCCAGCGGTTTCGGCGCTACCGGAACTGAAGCCCAGGCTCAACCTCCATCTACCCAAGCTCCCGGCCGTTATGGCCACGTTGAGGCAACAAATAGTGGACAAAACACTCCAAACCCAACATTACCCAGTCAGGCCCAACCAACCCAGCCCACGCATATGCCTCAGGCCCAAGGCCACGGTGCTTTTAACTATGGCTATCCCTATTATTCCAATCCTCACTATCCAAACACATATATTGGTCAGATGGGCCAACAGCATCAATACGGAAGAAACCGCCCAATGTATGATGATGTCCGCCGGTATGAAGAGCACTACCTGCCTCACAGCAACCAGTTTGGTTACGGCAGCCAGTATGCTCCTTACGGCAAAGGTGGAATGTATGGTCAGCCCCAACATGCATTTTCATACGAGCATTCCTCGTCTCCTGCCAATGCCGGTGCTTTTGCCCAGGGTGTGCCTGCTCGTGACTCTGGTTATGGTCGGACGGGCTCTGCTCAACCCGCAGAAGGCCAGCAATCGACTGGCAGCAATGCTTTCGGCGGCATTCCCGACGTATTCGGACGCACACAATTTGGTCAGAACCAGCCAGTGGCCTCTCAACAGCCGGTGAGCAGCGAGGAGCCTTCAAAGGGTTTCGAATCGTCCAAGACTGGTGGGCCAAGCCCGTCAGTCTCTCATGCCAATAGACCGGGCTCAGCGGCAAACAACGTACCAAACCAGCCCGCTGCAAGCCAGACCGGGCTCCCACCCGTTCCAGCACAACAAGGCAGTCAGCAGGCGTTCGGAGGCTACCCCCATCTGAACCCTCAGTACGGAGGACTTGGTGGCCTAGGAACGCACCATCAGACCGGAGCCTCTCAGACACATCACCAAGGCGGTGGATATGGAAGCTACGGCGCAGGTTTTGGCACCAACTACTACGGCAACACAGGTCGGGGCGGTGGATGGGGTGGTAATTATGGTCATTAAGGGATCAACTAGGGGGACCTCTGTGATTCTATCCCTTTAGTTTCAGGAGATCATTTCCCCGGCGGATTCTCTCTAACCCTATGACCTACAAGCCTTTTATTCTTACACGAAGTGCTGGTCTTTTTCTCATGCTTCGTTTATGCTTGACTGTTTCCATTATAATATCTTCTGTTCTCTCTCCTCATTGTTGGTCAAGGTCGGACGTGACTTTTTCTTTTCTTTTCTTTTCGTTTTCTTAATAGCCCACAACAAAAAACATGATGTGACTCTGATCTGCATGCTCTGTTTTGCATGAATTTATGTGTTTCTTTCCTCTTCTATTTGCTTTGCTTGATCCTTTTTCCCAATATTTTTGGCCTGATGTTATGTTCTGGGGACATGTACCAACTATTAGTTACTCAGTGATTTGTATTCTGGAGAACTGGCTGGCTTCATGGACGTCTGGTTTCGATGGAATGGAATGACCGCGAGGAAAAGAACAAATTTCGAACCCTTTTTTTTTTTTTAAAGCTAGTTAGTGGACGGGAAGACCAAAAAGAAGTCTTTTCATCTTTTTGCTGCGTACTCCGTAATGGAACATCATATAATTCGCAAGTGCCTGTCTGCTGCGTCACCTTTTCGATCTCTGCGTCCGGTGCATCATCAGCTTCAACAGACAGGGGCGGGAAGAGTAGTTGATTGGTGTGTCTGGCTGGGCCAAGCTCCGGCTGATGACGAAGCTTGTCTCAACCAAAGGCTGCGCGCGCCCGTCGCTAACTTGCTGACGTTTTGCGGACGATATTCGGCTCGTCTTGCAGGTCTACGTGTACCTGAAAGCTCAGATCCGGGCAGGATTTGACCATGTTTGCTGCTATTCCTGTACTCCTTCTGTCAATAGGTCGTTACAGAGGGCAAGATAGTGGACACGGACTTGAAGTAACAACAGGGAGCGAGTTGGATTCGTTATAACTCCCCATGGTCGCGTACCACATACGTACGCTCCGGGTAGGCCAGAAGGGCAACAACAGGCCTTCCCTCCCCCTTGTCATCGCGATAGCCGCTTGCAGCAGAAGGCCATGGTGCATTCTATTATGCCGCTTCGATTCCTACACCTCGTACTCTGTAGGGACTTGTTTTACGTTTCTCGTGTCTTCCTCCCTAGGGTTGCTAGGAAATATTGTTGCCTGGTAAAGCATCAGCCCACAAACCTTGGCCCCCTACAGCCACATACCCTGTATATTCACAATGGAAGAGCGTTTGTCGTCTGGCGATGATGGGTGGTGGTGGTGGCGAGAAGTATAAAGTGATATGCTTCTCCGATCCCACCTGTTCACGTCGTGATTTTTCCTCCAGGTCATTTTCTCTTAAGGAATGATATCCCCCTGCGCTGAGCAGCGTCCTACTCTGGTTCCCTCGCTTTGAAAGGAGCAGATACAGGGTTCGCGGATCCGAACTATGACCAACAGGTGCGATGCTGTTGACTTTAACGATGACAACGTGCCTTGGGCGTACTGCCCGTCGTTTCCAGCGGCGATCCTCTTCGCGGCAATTTTCTGTCTCCTGACCATTGCTCATACCGCTCAATTATTCCTTTCGCGAAAGGTGTGATATGGACCTTGCATCCAGCTAGTTATGGTCTCTTCCTCTTGAAATTGACTCCTCAATCGCAGAAGTTTTGCTGGGTTATTGTCATGGCGGCTATATGGGAGACCATTGGCTTTTCGCTGCGAGCATATTCAACCCAGAACCTACGGTCCATTGGGCCCGTTGTTCCGTCTCAGCTCCTGATTATCCTCTCGCCCTTATGGCTCAATGCCTTCGTTTACATGGTCCTCGGCCGCATGATATATTTTTTCCTGCCGGAGAAAAGGTGCTTTGGTATCTCGGCGAAGAAACTTACCATGCTATTTGTTATTCTTGATATCACCGCATTTTTAGTCCAGGGTACAGGCGGCAGTATGCTTTCGGGAGATGACCCAAAGACTGTAAATCTCGGGAAGTATATATGTAAGGCCAAATCCCACCCACTGGGCTATCTATCTGCGCTCTCTTCCAGGCATCTCTTCCACCTTTTTACAGTTCTAATGCGCACTAGATATGGGAGGTATCGGTTTCCAGGAATTCTTCATCCTGATTTTCTTTGCTCTTGCGGTTCGCTTTCACTATAAGATGAATTACGTTGAAACCATTCACCCACCAGCCTACCGATGGCGCCCGCTTCTCTATACCGTGTACGCCGGTCTCGTCTTAATCACCATCCGCGTCATTTACCGACTCTGTGAATACTCTCAGGGAGTGGACACTCCGCTCTCCAAAAGCGAAACAGCGTTCTACGTCCTCGACGCAGCAACCATGGCCGTCGCCATATTCCTCTTCAGCATCTTTCATCCAGGGCGATTCCTCGTCGGCCCGGACAGTGAGTTTCCGAAAAAGCAGAAAAAATCGAAAGCAAACAGAAACAGGGACGATACGAAGTCGGAAAGCAGGAGGAGTAAGAGGTGGGTTCGACGGAGAACAGAAAAAAATGATGTGGAGTTGAGTACAGAAGCTGAGCAGTTCGCGGCGCAGGAGCTCGGGCAGCATGAGTTGTTAGAGAGACCATCGCCTGGGTCAGCACCGGGGCAAAACTGGGGCTACAGATAACTGCTGCTTGGTATCATACTAAGATAGGCGATTATCTTTTATCAAGAGCTGTTCTAATTTTTAAAGCGTAGTGAAAAATGAATGATGCGTGTGAGGTACCTTCGATGCTATGTAACCGTACATACATATCAGGCCACTCACTGCCTTCAATACTTAAAAAGAATACCCAGCTATGTTTAGAGAAATCAAAATTACCTGGGCATCAGCCTCAATACATTGTAGAATGCGATCAGTGAACTGCTCAAATTCGTGTCAACTGGGCAATACATAGCCACAGTGTTACTCGGATGTGGTCTGAATATTTAATAATGTACTTGACAATTTCTCTATTTCTAATAGTGAAGCCCATGCTTACTATCTATTAGGTCCGAGGCGCTCTAGAGCTCCCCATCCCACAAAGACAAACAACCCTCATCTAGGGATAGAGTAGGAAGCTATTATTTGTATGTGTGTATGAGGTTAAAAATCCTTGAGGGAATCATGTAATGGAATGCCACAGTCACCCATAAACATGAATCTGTGAAAGAAAAGGATGTAGAGAAAGAAAGTGAATAATACGAGGTATACAGCTTTACCTTTTAGGCCGTACTCTCGGTCTCTGTAGAAACCGGTTCGACAATGGGTTCAAGTCCAAGGCCTCGGCCTGCATCCTTATAGTACGGCGTAACTGCATCCTTCGCTAAGGCGGGGTCGAACCTCCACACCCCGTTCGTCTTATCGCTTTCGATGGCCGCAGGGGTAGGATCGCTCACGCCCAACCTGCGGAGCAGCGTCTTGAACACGTCATCATCACCGATATCCACCCTTTTGAAAAATCTACGCTCCCATTCCCGCCCTTCTTCTCTTTCTATCTTGCGTAGCTCTCTCTGGGCATTTTCGATCTTGGTCTTAGCCACGGAGGTAGCGTCCATGTCCCCACGTTCAATGGCCTCGGCGACGTCCCTCCATGCGCGACGGGATTCATATATATCCTGATCTTCTAGCTTCGCAAGTGTGAGGGGGGTGGTCTTCGTGGTTTTGGCGTTGTATTTTTCAATTTCTCGCTTTTTGCCTCTTGCTTCCCTGATCACAAACTCTTTCGACCATTGGCCGTCAGCGGTGTAGATTGGGCTCTTCTCTCCTTCGCTCTCGTGGTATAAGACTGCGCTGAAAGTGTTCTTTTTGCCGCTTAGCCAACCTTTACCGGAGTAGTCGATTTTCGCGATGTAGCCTGTAGAACTGATGATATGACTTGAGCGGTCCAACTCGACGAAAGGCGTGCCGTATATTAGGGACTCAATATGCAGGGAAGGTAGAGTGATGAGGTAGGTTTCACGCTCAGCTGCGGAGGCACCGGGTGTGGGGAATGAATATAATGCGTGGCCGATCTGCTTTATGTTGATCGTGCTCGAGAAAGAGGCCTTTTGGGCGTTGTAACCTTGTAACTACCGCGTTATTAGTACCGGTTCACTAACGTAACATATCGAATACATACCTCAACACCATGCTTTACATTCTCGATCGAATACGCCGTCACAGGTGGATGGTGGCTATATCGCAGTATCCTCGGATTAGCCACCAGGGCCAAAGTAGCCATCCAGTCAACGAAGATAAGAAGTGAACATACCTAACTTGTTCACTGAATAGCTTCGTCTCTCCGATATCCGCATCATCCTCCCATTTCCCCAAGAACAGTTCTCCCAAGAACGGATTCAATGGCTTCTTCTCGCTTCCCAGTTTCTCGCTTCTCGTTGCATATTGCTGGTGCAGGGTACTCAAGAACCACTTCAGCACCAGTAAAGCCCTCTTCGCAGGATCTGGCTCTTTTGCGGGGGCAACAAATAGTGCTGGGTGTTCGGCCCAGTAGGCGGAGTATTCAACGAGGGAGGTACCGGAGAGGATGAAAGGAGGAGCCGTCAGGGAGGACAGGTCACCGTTGAAGGACGCAATGGACTGATTGTTTAATATTAGCTTCAAGAGCTCGGAAGACAACAACGCAGGAATAGAATCAAGGTTCACTTGCCTTAAGGAATGAAGACCATGATCCCCGGCTTGCGGCGGGGACTGCAGACCCCTCTCCGGTGGAGTTGGACATGTTCGATGCAGTGCAAAGACGGTTGGAAAATTCAAAATAACACCAGTATTAAGGATTAATAATGGATAGTAGAGTATGAAATTCAAAGTATTATTCTAAGAATATGTCCGTCCAAAATTTTTGTGAGCTTGTAGGATTGTATAGGGAGGGGAGGGAGCTGTGAAGGAGTTGCGATTAAACTAGTGGGGGATTTCATCACCCGGTGAGATGTCACCAGCCCCTTTGCTGCAACATGAGGGAGTTGTTGATGTGATCACTCTGCCCGAAGTCAAATCATGAACAATCTAGCTAAATAGTATGTTCATGCAGTGCGGGAATTATTTCTTGATATATTTACATTTCCCTTGTTGCAGCATTCCCAAGCTTCAATCCATGGCCGCACAAAACTCCTCAACTAGTAAACTACATAGCCGACAAGAGTAGCTGTACCCCTCCAAGATGACATCAGGCCTACAGGGGAAAAAAAAAAAAAAAGGAAAAAAAAAAAAGAAAAAGGGCAATTCTCTGTCGGTAGTATGGAATACAGAGGAGAAAGTTATTGAATTCAACAATTACTGTCTCAACAACTGCTCTGCTTGTGTTAAGTTGACTTCTGATGCTAATTGCCCTGGAAGTTGTCAACAGGGACGCTTGTCTTAAACACTGGAAACTATGAGCTACAGCGAAATCGCTTTGTGAGACATGTGAGTGCCCTGAGCATTCAGTTGGTTCGGAAGTACGGAGTAGTCAGACCTATTAACCCGAAACTTAAGTTGCTGCTTGTTTGATGGTACTCTTCTGAGGCTGGGTTGCGCAACCCAGTGAATAGTTAACTACTGCATCAGAGCAAATTACTATATGCTTGCTATGTTTGAGATCTAACCTCCTTGCCAGAGAAAACTATTCAGAATGAACCATGAGACAACCGCAGAGGCAACCAAGATGAATTTTCGTTCAGTGCAGATAGCAGAAATGATAGTCCCCGGAAATAATTTCGTTGATGATGACAGGACCGGGTATTATCCAACATGAAACCAGCAGGGCTCATGATAAGTTATGCCCAAGACTCACAGTTTTGTGACAGATTTCCAGGCTCAACCACTCAAACTCGACTTGGAAGGGAAAGATGTCACAATACCCTTTCCAAAATCATCCTCGCGTGGTGTACATCGAACTTCTCTAAGTGGCTTGCGAAGCCAAGATTATATGGTTGTTTTGAACTCACCTTCTACCTATCGGGGATACCTAATAGCACAACAAATTCGCACGAGGCAGCAGGATATTAAACTAAAATCCCAGCATGGAGGCTGCAGCGCTCACCCATCATGTACGTGGGTAACGTGTTGCATCACATTTTGGCTGTTGTCGATGCAATATATTCTCCGTCTCCTCAAACATATTTCTTTTTTTTTTTTTTCCTTTTTTTTCTTTTTTTTTTTTTTTTTTTGCCCTACCTACTTTCACTGATCTATGCAGGCCAAGGCAGTGAAGGCTTTCCTTCTCCCTTCAGCTTGGAGGAGGCTTTCCATGCTTTCAAGTTTCGCCTTTAGCTTACTTGACCTCCCCCCTGGATATCTCTGGGGAGTATCATTTCCACAGCTTAGGCACCTTCCCACGTCCTTGGATGTACGGATGGTCTCATTTTGTGGACGCAGGCTCATTTGGGCATACTGGCTATGTTATTCTTTTCACATCAAATCCAGCCCCAAATGCGAGCGAGATACCCAGGATTAGATTGATCTCCAACGTTTCGTTGACTCGGAATTTTGCTTTAGCGATTCTCAGACCCTATAAGGTATATCAAAGTTCGGCTGGCGTCCCAAATCATAATGGAGTTTGTGCAATCAGCAAGTTCGTCTATTCTCTCCATTCCTGTCGATTTTGATGTCGTCACCATAGAAAAGTGCGCGTCTTCGGTACGACCGCTGAGAGCTAGAAGTCCTTCACCTTCAAAGAGGAGGAACATAGCTATTTATATAACCGGGGTTAAGTTTCATAAAACTTGGCCTTGAAGCTTTCAACGGTTCGGCTGTCACCATTGCAACGAATAGGTGCGGCCATTCAGCCCTATTAGAAGAAAACTGATTCCAGGACCCATAACAGGTGACACATGTACCTACTAGTATTCGACAACAAACATGCAAAGAACCACTACTATGGGCACTGTTACACAGACAGTCAGAATGGTCGCAATATATAGTATTGCGGGCGTTGCTCATTCACTGGGCGAATTGATTCGACGCGCCGTTCCACAAGACATTAGTCGGCTAAGTTGCTCACGAACTCTAACCAAGTATTCTCCAGCAATTCATACATCTGTTTCGCAATCTGTGACGCCTGGTTTAGATTTTCTCTGAAATATCAAGCACGACTTCGAGAGCCTTTTTGCGCGGCAGCCTTTAGCTCTTTGGCGAATTCGGATAGCCAGATGGAGAGGTAATCTTCCGCGCGTGCAGATGTACATGGCTATTTTTGGAATACGCGATTGCACTGGTACGACCAACATATGTAGGACCACTTGGCAGATTCTAAATTTGGCGAGCTCAGAGGCGCCATTTGCGTGTCTATTTCTTACCCGCTGGATATCGAAACTCCAATCTCATGCCTTCAGCTTGATTCGCTCATGCTCATGATCATCTAATATAAATATTCTATGGCTAGTGGGCCACCATAGCTTGACCTACGTCAAGGCGGAAATGTTATGATGGTTTGTGTTCCTGCCCCGTTTGGCCGCCGGGCTTGCTGTAGTCAGGGAGACAGATCTCCCAACGGCCAGCATCCGGATGCATGTATATCCAAGCATCTTAAGCTCGCAATCAAAAACTCTGAACAAGAATGTCTCCGCTCTTGGCATGGTAATTGCTCCCCACAACTCCTTACGGGAGAAGTCCGCATATGCACAGCCATTGTCAACCATGCGATCATGTTTCCGCTCCTTGGTCGCTATACACGGAGTCGACAGGATGCCTAACAAGACCAGTAGCGAGAATAAACACCTATTAAAACATTCAGAAGGCGGGTGGAGTTCAGTTAACTTCTATTTTCGTCCTGATTATGGCGGTGGACGTTTATGTATCGCGGCTGGTGCTGTTGCATGTTGAATGACGAGGCGTGAAACACAGAGTTGGCAGCCGAAGATGGATGAAAAAGCGGGAGAACCAAGAAAAAAAGAGTTAACGAGAGTTGCCATCGAGTCAACCCTTGTTTCGGCCTCGTGAAGTCGAGTTGGCTTCGCCTGGTGTGTGTGTGTGTGTGTGTGTGTGAGGTTGGCCACTCATGTCGAAAAAGGTCATCCATTCTGTACCTGCTGTCCGTTGTTCCCGGCATGATAAGAGAGCGCCTGGTCTGCTTGGCTACTATGCCATTTCTCAATAACCAGCTGATCATCTGACGGATGCTGTGATCCATGGAGCGCGAGAAATCGCCCCTTTCGTTACTGAAATTCACCCGTTATGCAGCCGAGTGGAAAATTCTGAATCCACCCGGTGGAGAGCTGTGGACCAGCCAAGAGCGGCCCATTGAACCACACTCTTCCGCCGATAAACGGCGAGCGATAGATGCATGTTTTCACAAAGGACAGACATCGGGGGGTATAATACACTAACTACCTAATACTCCGTATAGTTACTCCGTACACTTTGCTGCTTGAAGCATCTGCTTTGTGTAGCGTTTCAAACATACCCATTGTTCTCGAAGGAGGCATTTCCATGAGGCATTTTTTCCCTTCGAACGTGTCCTTCTGTTCCAGAAAAAAAAAAAAAAAAAAAAAAATGAACAATGGATGTCCTGCTGCGGGTTGAGTGTCGAGCTACCGATCAGAAGCTGCAACTCCCAATGAGATTTGCTGGAGCCGAAAATACAAGTTGGGGCCTGTGGAGTTGAATTTGAGAAAGGTGTGACTGTGGAGGGCCAGGATCCCAGAGGCGTCGATCGTCATTGGCAGTTTCGAATACGGAGCGTGCACATCGCGGTTCGGCGGGAGGCTCAAATTTATTGTGGTACTCTTAAGGAAAGGTCGCTCGCTCCGTTGGTACGGAAAAAGATCAGCCTGCATTTGGAAATTCAGAGGATCTGGAAGGCTGGCTTCCCATGGTTCCTTCGAAATGCGGCGGGCATTGTGCTCGACCACGACTCCGTATGGCGCTGCCCTAAAGCGCGCGGATGCGGCGGGTCGCAAGGAAGTGAAGTGCAGACCAGACAAAGCAACCCCCGGAAATACGTACTGTACATAAATTACTAGCCCTGGGCCGGGCGGGTCCGCGGGTGGGTCGCCCTTGTCGATCTTCCACGGGAGGAGTGGCTGCAAACAACCACGGAATGTCTTGGCAGATGGGCCCACTTTTCATTCGCGCGTCCCTGTCGATGACATCACCGGGACGCGGACGACCCGAGGACAAGAACCAAGATGCGCCGTGGATGAGACTCAGATAGCAGCAAAGGGGGAGTTCCTGATCCTCGTTGGCGCAGGATCGGGAAGGAATTAATGATGAGAGCGCTTAATAGGATTTGGGGGTGTCTCATTTTAAGACGATTTTTCTTGAGAATCCGTATGGGATATACTCCGTACATACAGATATACATACGCACGGGGTCCTCCGTGCTGTGTCGCTTTACGACATGCACGGACTCCGCAAATCGCCATCCATCAAGCCTTCCACACGCGCTTGGCAAGCTTGAGCGACTTCTTGATCAGTTCAAGGCTCAGCCACTTTATGGGGGAGGCTTGGCCTGAGTGGGAGAACCCGCCCATCGAAGTAAAATGGGGAGAGAGAGAGAGAGAGAGCCGGAAAAAAAACCTCATGTTGTCGACTTGAAACGTCCAAGAGAGAGATCTCTCGAAGCGCACCATTTGCCGAGCGAGATGTACGTATGGATGCACAGCTCCGCATGTGTTGGAATTACAGCTATCCTTGTGTACTCGCCCACGGACGCGGTTGAAATTGGGAGAGCAGACCCACACCATCCCTGCAGCAAACATATGCGCCGTAATCCCACCCTTGTCCTGTATAAACGTCGTTGCTTCCCATACGGAGTACTTTTCTCTCCAGAGCTATGGTTGTTCTGCGAATGTGGGCGCAAGATGTTCGTGTCCAGTATTGTAACGTCATTGAAAACGTTGCCAGGAGCTTGTGACTGGAAGTCGCTCAGCGGCAGAGTGGAAAGCAGCATACAGTACTCCGTATACATACATACTAGGCACGGAGTGTACATCCATGGGTCAAGCCATCCTCGCACACCAAAACGGGGAAAGCCGTGATTAATGTTTATCGGGGAGAGGTCCAACTGCCCAGATTTTGGCCCGTGTTCCAGAGCAACAACCCGGCCTTTGATGCGAGGGAGGAGGGCTGTAACATCCTGGCTTGGATTTCTGGCGTGTGCTCCTGCGCGAAGCATGAGCAAGATTGCATGGTTGGACTCCTTTTCGGCACCTTCGCTTCCTTGTAATTGTGGAGAAAATCCCAAAGCGGAAGTCCATACTCTGTCCGAAGTACTCACAACAGGACGGTACGCTGCTCATTGGCCACGGCGCGCAACTCTCGCTGTCACCCACGCATTTCTCCGGGTCCACAGCGGGTCCATGACTCCAATCTATCTGCCTTTGTTTCCTTCCCCAGGATCAAGCTTTGGGAAACATGGGGAAAGGGTATCGAGTTAACCAAAAAGAAACTTAGAAAGAAGCAACTCGGTGGCTGGGCCGTAAGAAAGTAAAAGAAAGAGAGCAACAGATCGGGAGCGGAAGGCTAAATATTGTGTATTGTGTGGATAGTGGCACCCGCACAGGCAGCCAGGGGCCCCGGCAACTTGCATCGCCGTATAAGAACGCGAGATCTTCCCTTCGCCCACGGGGATCTGCCTTGGTTCCTTTTCCTTTTTTTCCTCCCCCATATCGGCATTTCCCGCTAAAAGGTCGTCGGCCGGACGACGATTTTATTGAAATCACTCCTGGACTTGAGAGAAAGAGAGTCTCAGCCAAGTTGAACTCAGTTCTCAAGGGCCCTTGGGAGGTCAAATCCTCATCGAAATGGCGGACGAACTCAAGCACACCGAAACCGACATAAAAGTGGCTGAAAACAAGGATACCAGCCAGCTCGACAGAAGGTTAGAATCCTTTGTATCTTATGCTATTTGTGTCGATAGGAAATTTTCCAATAAGTTGCTGATTATACGGCTTTAGTGATTCCGATCGTGATCTCGACGATGCTGGGTTAGAAGGAGATGAAAAGATCGACTTGAACAGCAACGTTTCGGGAAGGTAGGGCCGTTCTCTCGATGCAAAAAAGGAGCCCACTTGGCACCTCATTGCGCTCGTTAACAAATAGACGTCTCTTAGAATCAAAAACCCTCTTGCGCATATCCCAAAACACCGATTACTTCGAGATGTCGAGGAATTTGCCAATAAGAACGGACTTGATGACATCCTGCCTAACTTGCAGAAAGGTGCATTAATAGCCAAGGACCCAGCAAATTTTGAGACTGTCGAAGGTATTACGGAGGAAGAAATCGAGGTCATCCGAGATGAAGTCGTTCACAAGTGGCGCCAGCCGCGACCGCTGTACTACACGATTATTCTTTGCTCAATTGGCGCTGCCGTGCAGTAAGCTATCACCAACCAACTCGCTGAGTCTATCGCATATCTGACAGTAACTAGGGGATGGGATCAAACCGGATCAAACGGAGCAAATTTATCGTTCCCAGAGGCTTTTAATATTAGCGATAGGGAGGGAACTCCCAACGCGCACATACATCAATGGCTCGTCGGACTGGTTAACGCGTAACGTTCCCGTAGACCTGACTCCTCTTGCCTGCACCATGCTGATATATAGCCGTAGTGGCCCCTATATCGGTTCTGCATTTCTGTGAGAACCCCCCTTCTCAAGAGAGTATACCATCGCTGCTAATGATTTTTCAGAGGCTGCTGGCTTTCAGACCCTTTCAATGACTTTTTCGGGAGACGTGGAGCAATCTTCATTTCGGCAGTATTTTGCGTGCTTCCACCCATTGGATCTGCCGTCTCTCAGAACTGGGAGCAGCTCCTGATCACCCGTTTACTGCTGGGCATTGGTATGGGAGCGAAGGCTTCGACTGTCCCGATTTTTTGTGCAGAAAACACACCAGCCAGTGTTCGAGGAGGCTTAGTGATGAGTTGGCAGCTGTAAGTCCACAGATTAACCGGCTGGTATCGATGGGAGCTCTGACAACGCAAATAGCTGGACCGCTTTTGGCATTTTCCTCGGGTTTTCCGCGAATCTTGCCGTAAAAGATACCGGAGATATCTCGTGGAGGTTGCAGCTTGGTTCAGCTTTTATTCCCGCAGTGCCACTTCTACTGGGTGTGTACTTCTGTCCGGAATCGCCGCGCTGGTACATCAAGAAGGGCAAAATGGCGCAGGCATACCGATCTCTAACCCGACTTCGGAACCATCCGATTCAGGCAGCTCGCGACCTGTATTATATCTACTGCCAGATTAAACTCGAGGAGGAAATGGCGGGAGAGAGCAACTACGTCACCCGTTTCATCCAGCTGTTCACAATCCCTCGGGTTCGCCGCGCCACTCTCGCCTCATTCACTGTTATGATCGCCCAACAAATGTGTGGTATCAATATCATAGCATTCTACTCATCCACAGTGTTTAGGGAAGCAGGAGCGGACGCAACAGGTGCTCTTTTAGCGTCTTGGGGTTTTGGCCTTGTAAATTTCCTTTTTGCATTTCCCGCAATCTGGACAATTGACACATATGGGCGACGTACATTGCTGTTATTCACATTCCCCCAAATGGCATGGACATTGCTTGCTGCAGGGTTCTCTTTCTGGATCCCAGAAGAAAACAGAGCTCACCTTGGCGTTATAGCCTTCTTTGTGTTCCTGTTTGCTGCCTTTTATTCGCCGGGAGAAGGACCAGTCCCATTTACCTACTCTGCCGAAGTGTTCCCGCTTACGCATCGTGGTAAGTTTGGGAAAATCACATCCGTACTGGTGAATATGCGCTGGAAGCTAATATCCCATCACAGAGGTTGGAATGGCCTGGGCTGTTGCAACATGCTTGTTCTGGGCGGCTGTACTCTCAATGACGTTCCCACGTATGCTGAGGGCAATGACCCCGACTGGTGCATTCGGGTTCTATGCGTAAGTCTGCTCGCGTTCCGTCAAACCAAGGCTTTTCCCTAACCTTTCTAGTGGTCTGAATGTTACTGCCCTGATCATGATTTACATGTGGGTGCCCGAGACCAAGCAACGTACTTTGGAGGAGTTGGATTACATTTTTGCCGTTCCAACCTGGAGACACGTTCGTTATCAGGTCACCGAGGTCCTTCCATGGTGGTTCAAACGCTACATCTTCCGTAAGGAGGCCCATCTCGAGCCCTTGTACAAGCTAGAACATGTCGCGAGGAAAGAAGAAGCGTAGTGCGCGAAGGGCTCTAGCTCCTGGAATAACTCGTGAACTTGATAGGAATTAATAACCATGGACGACCGACACAGTGGCGGCGCATAGAGACATACCTACTTGCCCCTCTTTATCTCCCCCTCTGGGTGCCCGTTGTATCGACGATAATAGGACCCAGTGTGCACCTGGTTTATGTGCGGCAGTCATTCTTTCCGCTTGTTTACAATGTTTCTGATTTCAGTAATTCTCAAGTTGACTGAGTAGAGTTTCGCTGCATATATTGAAATGATCATCTCTCTCGAAGAAGTAATTTTTATGGAATTGAACTTGCAACCCAGCCTCTCGTTAGGCTCAAGAGATGAATGCCCATGGGATATAGGCATCAGCACCCATATATCTATTAAATCCATGAGAGAATATCACCCGCAATGAACTTGGTAAGCCAAACTCCTCGAGCAACAGCTCTGATGTGGACTGCGGGCGCGATCGCAAGCTAGCGAAGTTGCTGTCTGACCAGGCGCGGTTATGTTGTCACGTGAACAGATCCAGCCTTTCCACATGGGTTTAAGTCAGGCCTCTCCACATCATGAAGTCAGAACCGAAGTGTTCAACGGATGGCACTTTGTGCGGTGTTTGGATGTTGAGGAGCAATCCAACCAGCATATCATGACCAGCCAGTCTATTAGGCTATTGTAATTGTCTGTCCCCCACGTATTATCCTTCTCTTATGGTTGCAATCTTCTGTCCCCCGAGTAACACTTGTGTCTATGGAAGATCATCGCCCTTGTCACTCTAAGCTTCCCAGAAGCTTCCTCTGATGGTCTTCACCCTCAACCCCACTTTATTCACTCCTCATAACAGATTTATCTCCTCGTCTCTTTAGATTGCTGCTTAGTGGACAACTGTGTTGTCGCGGCGGAGTGGGAGCTATTTCAGTGCCGACGCAGTGGCAACCCTGAGTTCGCGGTGCTATTGGCAAAAAAAAACAAACAAAAAAAGGACTCCATTTTAATTTGTCGCTCCCTTTCTCTGCTCTTCATTTACAGGTCTTAGAATTAACACCTCCTCCACTTTAACCATGCCTTGCTTCAAAGGCCTTGCAGTCAGTATCCATACCCCTGATGGACCCCTCCCCGAATACTCGGTCCAACGCCAATCGAGAGCCTCTCGCATTGCATCCTACATACCTGTTCCGCCGCCAAAGATCTCCGATCTATCGAGCGGCAAGCCTGAACAATCCACGTTCGCGATATCTATCACCCTTCTTACTCCCGGCATGAAAGTCCCGTACTCCACTCCGAAACCTACGCCCGAGAACCCACACCCGAAGCCCAAGACGGTCGGCGGAATTCCAGGCCAACTAGCCACAGCGGCTTCGATCAATCCCTACCAACCTCTGACAGCTTCTCCGAACGAGACAATCGCAGCCTATATATATTTCGATGGAAGACAGAAGGAAGAAGTAGCTACATTGTTGCGAAGGGGCGAGGAGACTTGGGTCAATTCGAGATGGGTTGGCATACCAGAGTCAGAGGGTGGCGGCCTTGCGGAGCGAGAATTTCTTTTCCGTGAAGTTGGATTGGAAAGATGGCTGAATGGGCTGGATCTGGAGGGAACGGATGCTGCAGAGAAGATCGAACGGCGGCGGCAAAAAATGGAGAAGCGAAGGAAAAAAAAGGAGCTTCGAGAGGCTGCTCGTCTAGGAGGCGGGAGTGATGGCGAAACCGCTGTGGGGATGGATTTGGATGACAGGAAGCCGAGGCGTGACCATGATGTGCTAAGGTATGGGGATGATGCACAATCTCCAGTTGAGGATCTCTCGGATGGTACAGAGATATATTCTTCTGACCATGATTCCGACGATGATCCTATTCCCGAGACGGCTGGACAGATTAAGGTGGCTTTGTTTCGCGTGTTGGCGTCAGGGGAGATCAGGCGTGGTGAATACTCGCCGCAATTTGATGCGCACGAAGACGACGAAGATTCCCAAGCGGCAAACGGAGGTGGAAACAATGCTGATATCGACCACACGACTAGTTTTGCAAAGCCAAAATCCTTAGACCCAAAGTCCATTAGTACACAAACTGTCACCGGGATCGACCCAGCAGACAGACCATACGCCGTCTTTACATTTATGTACAGAGGAGAACGTAAGTCTGGTCCCTCTCCTTTTTCTTTCTTTTTTTTTTTTTTTTTTTTTTTTTTTAAAAACATGCGGATCGTGAGGATCCATATCTAACGGCATATTTTTAGGGCAACTGCAGAAGATGGGTATCTTGAAGTCATCCAGACAACAGGATAAAGATACAGAGAAGGCCGGCAGACGAAAGTCAGGCCAGCCAGATTTCTCCAAAATTGGACCTCTCAGGCCTGGAGGTGGTGCAGGATTTTTGAACTTCCGAGACGGCGAGGCGAACGTCTCAAAGTCTCGGAAGAAAGCTAAAGGAACCGCAAGCGATATGGACAGCGATGACGATGAGGACGATTTTAGCCCTATAGTCGGAAAGGCAGAAGATGAGGAGGAAAAGGAAGGAAATTCCTTCCTCTCTCCAGAAGACGCGAGATTCCAAGGAGAGCTCGCCGAAGGGGTCCGCCAAATAAAGGTACGTACCCAGATTCCTGGCACTTCCCTGATGACCTAGTTGACCATTGGTTGTTAGCTGAAACGGCAACATTCTTCTGATCCCCTTTCGGATATTGCGAGTAACGCTGATGCTACTCGACCTTCGAAATCTGCGACACCAGCGTCAAGATCCACGCCACCGGCACCGTCCGGGCAAGACTCTTCTCCTCCGAACAATCCGACGGGGAAAGACCCGATTTTGAATTCTTTGGATGACGGCTTCGTTGGTAGCCCGCTCAAAAAGCAGCGAGCGAGCTTATCAAACTCAGACAATCTTCCCCGCCAAAGATTGGGTTCGAGCATGTCAACAGGAATTCAAGAAGCCATAGGCATGGAAGTCAGTGCACAGGAAACGAACAATGGCGTGGGAGCTTCAACGGAGGTCAACATGGAAGCTGATCGCAAGCCAGGCACTCTTGAGGAGGAGCAGTTATGATCATACTTGGCTATCCACTCTCAATTGATCATGGGGACGAGATCGGATTCTTCAAATTGCGAATCCTGCTTACTTTGTGTTGAAGATTTAATCTTGGAGTCCGTCTGCTTTGCTTACTTTTACAAAGATTTCCAATTCAGTTGAGTCATGACTGGGGCAAGCCAAGAACCCGTGCTCATTTTTCCCGTTTTCCCTTCTCATGCGGGCGTTTCTTTGAATCTCTTGCGCAAATGCAGGCCTTCAGGCTTCAAGTTTCCCAGTCGTTCAGTTTTTTTTTTCTACCTTTATTCATGGCTTTCATCTATTTCTAGATACAGAGCATACCCATTTGCTCGTCACACTTGGGGCTTCGGTTTGAACCTGGATAGGAGATCTTCCCTGAAGTATGGTAGTCTTCAGGAGTTAGCTGCCTAGATACGGAGTATTCTTAAGTAATATACTTTGCACGCGATGAACTTTGGCAGCGTGTTAAATATCTGAATTCCTTTACACATTCCATCAGCGGCTTCTTTCTCCGCGAGAATGTTCTGGCCACAGATTGCTTTAATCATGTTACCCCACAGTTTGCTGCCATATTCATAGTTATAAATTGAGTTTTGGAAGAGCCGCCTGCGAATTCTAAAGCCAGTGGCGACGACATCATCAAACAAACCGCCTCCCCTCCCCCCGATCATAAGATGTGATAAAAACACATTTTTAAATGGATTCTCGGGCTGAAGCAAGATTAGCTGGACCCGGATCGAACATCTTTGCTGCTCGTGGATTTTTATTTCATCCGTTCAGCGGATCGATAGGGGGGAAGCTACACAGTATGGAGCACCAGAGAGAATGTCATCAACCAAACCCAACGTCTATGCAGGAGGCAAAAGAACTACAGTATCCCTCGGCTCGACTCTTGGGAGAGTTTGACGCAGTGAAGAATCCAGAAGCATTGTGGCCCAACCATGGTGATGGCTATTCTCGAAACTTGCGATCTTGTCTGCAGTATAGACTTTCGGCAAGGTCAGCAACGTTGGAATGCCGGGACGAAAGTATATAGTTGTATGATTTTCGACCTCATTTGCTCAAGCTTAAGAGTCAAAACTGAGTTTTCGCACTTGGGAATGGCGAATTCCCAGTTGCGGGCTATATACCACGGTTATAGTGCGCTGCTGCTAGAGATTAGCAGCGCACTCCTTTTCCGTGCGGGCTATCATATACGCGGCATGTGTGATGTCTGCTCAATGATACCGTTTCGTTTTCGGGGAAAAGTGCAGGCATCCTGTCTATCGTTAAGATGAGAAAACCGCCTCCCCAGGTGTTCGACTCGTGGCCCGAGCCGAATTATGTGGATCCTGAGCATAAAGGCCCCGAATTGATTATTGTTAGCCTCACCTTTACCTCCATTTCTTTCGTTATCGTGGGCCTTCGGATGTTTGTCCGTCTTCGTATAAAGAAACCTGCTGGATGGGATGATTGGCTTATGCTGGCTACTTTGGTAAGGAGCAAGGATATAGCTTTCGCGCACATAATGCTGATATAAACATAGCCTTTTATTGCGGGAGGGACTGCCTCGTCGATCCTAGGCACATATCATGGATGGGGTAAGTTCCCGATCCTTCGACTGATCGCAATGTTTCCGTGCTGATGCATGAACTTCGGATTAGGCTATCATATGTGGGATAACAAACCCGAATGGACCGAACCTGCCGGGATGGTATGGCTAGGCAACCTTATTCATCTTTTGACGATGTTCATGTCGGTATATATATGCTTACAATCTAATACAACAGTCGAGTTGGTTCAGTCAGCTGAACTCCATCATCATTATGACTCTCGTCAAGCTATCGATCCTAGTCTCGTACCTCCGCATATCCGTGGCGACCAAATTTTTCAGACGAGCTACTTGGGTTATGATTACTATGATTGTATTATGGGGCCTCGGTATTTTCACTTCGTCTGCTTTTGGGAGGTTGATAATGGAGAAGTCAACGACGATTCTGACGGGCTGTAGCACTCACCCTCTCTCTATTCTTCGTTTGCGTGTAAGACACCTATGGGAATTTTTATTTTATTGTTTTCGCTAATATATTACGGGACAGGCCGCTGCATTTTTACTGGCACAATCGTTCGGACAAGCACTGCGTGAAGGACTCCGCCCGTGTAATCAGCGGGTCGATTACCAATGTTATTACTGATATTCTTGTCTTTGTCTTGCCGATTCCGACGCTCTGTAAACTGCGTCTTCCTATGCGCGAGAGAGTTATTCTTGCTATTCTTATGAATTTGGGACTTATGTATGAGAGAAATCCTTCCTCCCCCGCTAATATCCTCTTATATATCATCATACTCTCTTATGGCAGAACTAATATTGATCTTTTTATAGTTCATGCGTTGCCTCTATTGTGCGCGCTTACTACTCACATGTGATCTTTCATTTAACAGATGATACCACATGTAAGCCCTCTCATTGCCATACTTGCTTCCTTCTCAGTTGAGCTGTGACTAACTCTCCCAACTCATAGGGGAAGGTTATAACATTTGGTTATGGAACGCCGTTGAAGTTAACTTGGCTGTTATATGCGCATCAACCCCGATGCTTCGACCTTTGGCGAGAAAGTGGTTTCCGCGTTTGGGTCTCAAGTCCTTCAGCAGTGAGGCTCAAAGTGACAAGCCAATTGACAAGCTGCCTTCTGAAGCTTATATTGACCGTCAGCTGGCAACATTAAAGAATATTAGTGATGAAGAGAGCGCCTTGGGTATCATTGCACCCGTTGATCCTAAGGCGGTTCTCAGATAATACGAGTCCGGCATCGAGTCGGGTATTTATGGCTATAGGGTCAACTCTAATGCCGTGGACAGGATGTGTTTTCAAAAGTTTTTCTATGCCCTCAAAATCAATAAAAAGGATTGTATAGATAATGTTATTAACCTGTTCCGCGGAAAATCCGATCTCTGTAAAATTTCATCTCCTCTATACTCTCCAGGATATCATCTTTGGCTAAATGCGCTCCTTTTTTCTCAGGCGCATTGCGCAATACCTCATCATTTGCCCACCTCCTCGCTGCTTCTTTCACGCTACTCACATCTAGAATCCTATAATGCAACCAATCTACTACCGTTTTATATGGCTTTCGCGCTAGAAACGCCCGGTCTGCGTGGACACTATTTCCCGCGAGCAATGCCGTGCGGCTTTCAGGGATGTACTTTTGTATATACGCGAGCAACGCACTGGCGGCTTCGGATGGAGTGGTAGTTGAATCAAGGACAGCAGCAGTGAGGCCTGAGTGTCCGTGCGTTGATACACACCAGGAGCTCATGGACGAGAGAATATACTGCGGTTGGTGTACCGTGACATGGAAGCCCTCGGGCTCGAGGAGGTTGAGGTCAGCGTCGGTGAGAAAGCAGCTAATTTGGAGGATATGGTCCGTTTCGGGGTCGAGGCCCGTCATCTGTGGGTTATGACGCAAAGACAAGTCAGCTTTTGCGGATTAAACCCTGCAAAGGGAGGGGGGAAAGGGGGTTTGTTGTTCAAATGAAGCTACCTCGCAGTCGATCCAAACGAGGGGTTGATTGGATCGCGTAAGAGCCATCTTGACGTTCAAGAGGACCGCTTTCTAAGCCTCTTGAGGCGAGTCGGCGGAGCGTAAAATAGCAGGGATGGTTCAATCACGAATATCCTCGCTTTGGTCTGAAGATCAATTAAGGTAGTTCACCACTAAACAAGCCACACCACTAAACGAGCCAAATTTCGCCAAATGCTCCACGCAACGAATTTATTAAATATCTCAACAACCAGATCTTTATTATTAAATAGCTATTAAATATTAAATAAATGTATTCTTTAAAGCATAGAAATTAGTATAGTTAGGAAAATAAACAGGTGGACAGCCTAATATTACAGCCAGAGTGAGAGATTTGGGGGGTAGATAGAAAAGAATTCAAAGGAATGTCAACAGTAGATTTCTCAGCTAGGGAGTCTAATGCCTTGCTAGGGATGCTTGTAGAGCTCTTACTTCCCCTTTTGGAAGATTGTATAGACTCTCCACAATAAGACTCTTTAGTAGAGGAGTCCTTCTGATGGTGCTTTGAAGCTAGCACTTGAAGCCCTGACTGCTAGTGTTTATTAGTATATTCAATCACTCATTTTTCCTTCTCTGCTAGTTGTAAAGTCTTCTTCTTCTCACAAGCAATATATTGTGTCTTTCTTTGTCTAGCATGTTTGATTTTTTCAGTCTCTTGTTGCTTCTGAGTCTTTTTATGAGCATTCTTCTGTTCAATCTGTCTTTTTTCAACATCTCTAGCAGTCTGCTCCTTTTGAAGCTCTTGTTGAAGTTTTATCTCTTGTGTTTGAGTAATTTTATCAGCTTTTTCAGTCTCTATTTTATTCAGGCACTTGTGTGCCTTAAGAACTTTTATTGGAGACCAGAACTGTGCTTGACTAGAATTATCTCTATTGAGTAGGCCTAGAGGCTTGCCTTGCTTGTGGTGTTGCTTCTCCATCACTAGAGTTAATCTTAGCTGCTGATTCTCATGTTCCAGTAGTTCATTATAAAGAGCAAACTGCTCACTGGCTTGAATAACCCATTCAATGCTCTGCAAATTTAGGCTATGCTGGAGATGTATATTCTTGATCTCTTGTTAGAGCTGGTGCATATTGCTAGAAATAGAAGGTTTAACTGGTAGTGTAGGGGCTTGAGCAGTTTCAAATTAATATAGTTAATGTTGAGAATCCAGAGAGTTAATCCCAGTCTTTGCAAAGCCAGCAAGTATATTTTCAACTGTCAAAGTCTTCTTCCAAGCCATATTGAATAATCTCCAGAAATTCCTTTTTGTCATTTGAATATAGCTTATTTCTTGATGTAGTAGTGCTTCCAGCTTATTAGAATATGCCTTGCCCAGCAGCCCAAAGATTCCAATATCAAGAGATTGCAAATAGTGGGTTAAATGCAGCAGAAGAATTATAAGAAGAATCTTTTTATGATCAGTGTATTTAATAAATTTCATATTTATATGGGAGGAATAGCCATCTAGTAGAAGCAGATATCTTTCTTAACCAGCTTGTTTCTTAGTATACTGATTGAAAATCTGTTTCAATCACTCCAGTCCATATTCATTATTGCTTTAATCATTTGTTGAAGCTGCAAAGTAGGCCCATTTGCTTCCATCATAATTATCTAGTCATATATCCTGGAGATCTTGTGATTTATTCTGGTAAATAAGAGCTGAAGATAGTGCAATTTCTTCAGCAGAGACTGAGCAGAGCAATAAGAGAAATTCCTGACTACCATTCTGAATAACAGCATTCTTTCCAGCTTATAGAACTTTAATAGAGACTAATTGCTTTGAGACATGGCAGAAGTCTAGAAGAAATCCTTTTTCATTAAAGTTATAGATGTTTGAGGGCTCAAGATTATATTGATTAATTTTCTGCTCCAACTATTCTATAAGTAGTAGTCAAATAGTTAGCCAGCATTAATAACTGTAATTGCAAGTAATTAAATAAATTATCAAATTACAAGTATATAGAAGTGCTTAAAGCACTGATAGTTATCTACTATCTGTCTATTTTGATTAATTGCTTTGAGATAAATACATTTGATCTTGTTATTATGCTGCTTATGAAATTAATTAATCTAGTTGATCCCAACATCCTCTCCTGTCATCTCTTGTACAATATTTTATAGAATCTGAGATGTAATGGCAAGACTGTGGCTAGAGAGCTTGTTTATATAATTCAGAAGCTCTGCCTCCTGTATATCAGAGAGCTTTTTCTTATATCAGAAGACTGCTTCATCCTGAGCAAGTTGCAAGTCTTTATGCTATCAGTACAGAGTCTCTCAGTTAACTGAGTACTTTCTTGTGGTTGCAGTATAATTTGGGGTCTCTTGCAATTCAAGATCTTCAATTGCAAGCCTAATTGAGGCATTGTTGACCATGTTGTTGCATATTGAATGTTGAATGTTGGAGGAATTTTGGTGGTGGAAGATTTGGCTTGTTTAGTGGTGTGGCTCGCTTAGTGGTGAACTACCTTAATGGTTCTGGAAAGCCCCAGTGGACCCCACAGCTAGAGCTCTAAGCTGCCCCTCACTAACAAGCTATGCGTCCGAAGGAATCGCTTGCAGTTCAGAAATCGACATAGTTATGCCCCGGAGTAAGCTCCTATGTAGCACACTATTGCTTTGAGTGGAGAAGCAGATATGTTGAGATGCTTCAATCAAGGCGAGGATGTCGAGCTGCTGGTGGGTGTACTTAAAGCTTATGACGCAGTTTGCCCCGCCAGCAAGATTCCACCGTCGACAAGGTAACTAGGGAGCATAAAACGACAACACACTCTGGCGGCATTTACCCCTCCAGTCCAACCTCAAATTATTTTTTGCAGCGTTCAATACTACTCCTTAATTTTTAGTGATTTACTCGTTCTGCGGACTCTTCACCCTAGTTAGCAGAGCTATTCACCGCTGAAAAGCTCCAATTTCCGGCTGTAGCCAACCTCCTTGCAAAAAAACGCACCATGAGCATTAAATCTGTTTCAATTGCACCATTCTCAGACCAGAAAGCCGGAACGTAAGCGTCCCCCAGAAAATATGTCTCGTATCGATATTCTAATAGCTTGAGTACAGGTCTGGTCTGCGCAAAAAGGTCACCGTCTTCCAGCAGCCACATTATACCGAATCGTTCATTACGAGTATCCTCAAGTCAATTCCAGAGGGCGCTGAAGGAGCATTCCTCGTAATCGGTGGTGACGGACGCTACTATAACACCGAAGTCATCCAGCTAATTGCGCAGATCGGGATCGCATATGGCGTGAAGAAACTGGTGATTGGGCAGAACGGCATCTTGAGCACCCCGGCCGCCAGCCATGTTATCCGCAAAAGGAAAGCAACTGGTGGTATCCTTTTGACAGCTAGTCACAACCCTGGTGGTATGGAGCCTCTTCCCATCAGCCCTTCCATTCTCCTTGCAGAGCGTGCGTTAATTAATGTTGTTGATCTCTAGGCCCCAACGCCGACTTTGGAATCAAGTACAATCTTTCCAATGGTGCTCCAGCCCCTGAATCTGTGACGAACAAAATTTATGAGGTTTCCAAATCTCTCGCTGCATACAACGTTGTCAGCCTGCCGAAGATCGATTTGACAAAAATTGGAACGGGGAATTATGAAGGGTTAGAAGTTGAGATCATCGACTCAACTGCCGACTATGTTGAAATGATGAAGGAGATATTTGATTTCGACCTTATCCGTTCTTTCTTGAGGAGCCACGGCCACTTCAAAGTCCTGTTTGATGCCCTTCATGGAGTTACTGGACCATATGGCAAAGCCATTTTTATCAAGGAGCTGGGACTGCCAGAATCTAGCTGTCAAAACTGCGAACCCAAGCCCGACTTCGGCGGTGGTCATCCAGATCCCAATTTAACTTATGCCCGCTCCCTGGTCGAGAAAGTCGACAAGGAGGAGATCCAGTTTGGTGCTGCCAGTGACGGGGATGGTGACCGCAATATGATATATGGGGCAAAGACTTTCGTGTCTCCCGGAGACAGTTTGGCCATAATCGCACATCACGCTCAGCTTATCCCATACTTCAAAAAGCATGGAGTACACGGGCTCGCTCGCTCAATGCCCACATCAGGTGCGGTTGACTTGGTTGCCAAAGCTCAAGGCCTCCAGTGCTATGAGGTTCCGACCGGATGGAAATTCTTCTGCGCCTTGATGGACACCAACAAAATGTCGATTTGCGGCGAGGAGAGTTTCGGTACAGGAAGTAACCACATTCGAGAAAAGGATGGGGTCTGGGCCGTTGTCGCGTGGCTTAACATTATAGCTGGTGTGGGACAAGCCAACCCAGAGAAGCCAGCAAGTATTGCAGCGATCCAGACCGAGTTTTGGAAGACATATGGACGGACTTTCTTCACCCGATACGATTATGAGAACGTCGATAGTACCGGTGCAAACAAAGTCATAGAGCACCTCACAGAGCTCATTACCACGAAGAAAGATGATTTTGTTGGCTCAACTGTCTCGGGTCGCAAAGTTCTTGGAGCAGATGACTTCTCCTACACCGATCTTGATGGCAGCGTCAGCAAAAAGCAAGGTATCTTCATCAAATTCGACGACGGAAGTCGTATTGTTGTTCGTCTCTCTGGTACCGGAAGTAGTGGTGCCACTATTCGCCTGTACGTTGAGCGTCATGAATCAGACGAAAAGGAGTTCTCCAAGGATGCTCAAGATTATTTGAAGGAGAACATTGACCTCGCGATCAAATTACTAAAATTGAAGGAGTATGTGGGAAGGGAGGAGCCCACAGTCAAAACTTGATTGCCAGACATTTGGTATTTGATATGAAGCAAGGAATATGGATGGTGTCCACTAGGCTGGAACAAGTGCAGAATGGTCGCGCCGCGCGACTTGTCGTTCAGAAAGCATCAATTTGAGCTAGTTTTCAGCGGTTACGAAGTATATGATCAGCAAATTCCAGCTAGCACTTGGAGTCGTAGTAGTAAAGTTCGATGACTAGGTTAAAAGATCTCACATTGCCGATACTTACTTTCACATCCAGCTAACGTCCGGAGGATGGACGGAGTATAGTTACTGGACAATGATCTCGCAAGGACGTTTAATTTAGGGTTCGGGCCGACAAAATTCCGACATATAAGATTGTGTTTCTTTCAGGGGAAGCGAAATGTTTATCATGCTCAAACATATCCTCGTCATTAGGAATCCCGTATTAAGAGGAAAGGGTAGCAGATTTGCCCTTCCACCACTCGTTCCAATCGATTACTTTCCCTTCTCTTCTCGCTTCCTCTGCTGCGAAAACAACCACGTGACTCCGGACCGCCTCCTCCAACGTAACGCCCAAAATCTCTGCTTGAGCCTTGCTCGCCTCCCATCCCTGGTTTTCCACAGCATCAACAGCCTGTACAAATGCCCTCGTGAGGCCGTAGTCTCCACCGCCGTGGGACTCGGGCTCTGTGGGTGGAGGCTTGGGAACCTCGATGGTCTGAGTTTTGCTCGTGCCAAAATCGGAGACGGTGATGGTTTCGCTGTCATACGAGAGTTCTCCAAGAGTGCCGTACACGCGACCACGTCGTTCGCATTGTTTCTGCGTCGGCGCAATCATGTGCAGGGTTGCGAGTTTCGCGCCGCGGTTTTGCGTGTTGCCGGATGCCTTTGCGTCGTCGTCCCACGAGATTGTGACGAATTGGTCGTCGCAGACGTTGTTGTCTGATTCCCAAACGCAGCGACCATACCAGGAGCGAGAAGCAATTTCAGCAGCGGATGTGGTTTGGGAGTCGTAATCTTCTGATAGGGATACATAGAGTTGGCTTCTGGCAGTTTCCATTCCTGATGTTTTGAGCAGATCCTCGATGTCTGGCTGGACTATTTTAACAGGCCATCCAGTGTGGCCTCGAGCCAGATGCATTTCGTCGTATAGTTTGATTGCGCTATAGTTGCAGTCCTTTTCTATAGGGCAAGATAGACAATTTGTTGCATCGCCGGCAGCGAGGGGCTTTCGATTTCGAGTAAACTGGGTAAGTGACCCCATTGACGAGATAGATTTTGGGAGATGATAGGGATGGTCAACGTGAGAGCCGGGAGGAGGAGAACTCAATAGCCAGAGTATGAGGTCGATGTCATGGCAGCATTTTGTAAGAAGACTACCATCCTGGCCTGGGGTCTCACGTCGCCAGTTTCCTCGAACATAGCTGTGAGCGAAATGAGACCATCCCACGGGCTCGGTGTGTTCAAGGGACACTATATCCCCAATCACGCGATCCGTAAGAAGTAACTCCCTGAGAAGCTTGTTGTGTGGACTATACCTCAGCACATGCCCGATTGCAAATATCTTCTCAGGGATAGGCGAGACACTCATCAGTGCTTTAGACGCAGCGAGACAGTCCTGCAGTGACGTTGCCAGCGGCTTTTCACACATGATATGTAATTTCAACGGCGCAATGGCCTTCACAACCTCTACATGCATTTCATCTAGTGTGCAGATGAAGACTCCGTCCACACCCGGAATAGCGTCTTGACGATCCGCATCCTCCTCCGCTTGCTTCCGCCGCTGGATCTCCCATTCAAACCAATCTTTCCAGTCTTGGAATTGTTGGCCAGTGGAGGGAGTCTTGTCGCCCCAGATGTATTTCTTGCCGAAAGTTGCGCGACGATAAGGATCTGGTTCCGCCACGGCGTGGATCACTGCTTGTGTAGCGTTGGTTACGGCTCGAGAATAGCTGTTGCCGCGGGATCCTGCGCCAATGACGAGAAACCTGAGTGGCCCCGGTACTCGGGTGATGCTCGTAAGATGGGGCTCGAGATCAATGGGTTTCATTGTTAAATCAACCCTAAGTGATTGTAAGAGATGTCGCTCAAGCTGTCAGTGAGGGAGCATGAGTTGAGTTAGTGGTGATGGGGGGAAAAGAGAGGCGTGGTTGATGAGATTTAGACCCCTTCCATTGAGCCTCGTCACTGCGGGGTGAACGAGCCACATTCTATTATATAAATGGCTCTTGTCTTCCTGCTTTGGTACATGTCACTACTTCAGCGGGAGCCTAAACCATCTTGTTCCGTGTCAACTGTCGACCGTCAAGGCTGCCAAATAATGGGCTGGTGATCTCATGGATGGTCTCTCCATCTCGATAATTGCTCTGATGCAACGGTTGCACCATGTCCCGCCAGTTAGTCGATCGAAACATCGATGTCGCTAAACTCAAGAGGTTGAGTGGTGGCTGCACATATTTACATACTTGGACTGTACGGAGTAGTGCATCATGACAATAAAGCTTCTCAACAAAGCAATAGCTAATACCTCTTTTACAATTGGCCAAGACTAGACATCGCTGCCTTGCTTGCGCGTGTATGCTTGCATGTGGATAGTATGGGTTTTCCGAAGATGATGGGATACAAAACCTAGGCCTTCGGTTTGATAGAGCTTTGAGAGCGTCTACACTCCGGAATTGGTCCGTGCATTTAATCGGAATTTCCGAAGAAAAAGGAGAAATAAGGCAATAGAGAGTTAAATAGTAAAATTTGATGAATTTTGAAAAAGAAATCTTGAAGCGATACACTATCTAAAATGCCTTTGCAGGACCTTCTTCTTCCATGCGTAATAATGCAAAAGATAAGAACCCAATAGCTCAAAGTTCCGACGAAATGCCCATCGTTTGTACGGTAAAATGTTTTAAATCGATGCTTTTTCAACCTTCGCCAAAAAAAAAAAAAAAAAAAAAAAAAAAAAAAAGGAGCCAATGTGCCTGGTCCACTTGCTGCGATTAGACTGAGGAAATTGACAGCATATACGGAGTAGACAAACAATGCAACGGTCAACAAGAGAAAAGCCCACCAAATGAAGCAAGAACTAGGAAAGGAGAAAAGGGCAATGATTAAACACTAGGTAGTGTATATGGGACTGAGCACCAAACGCCAAGAATGCAAAGCAATGTGATGACACCTTAACATGCATTGGAAAAAGAACATAGGAGAAGAAACAAAAGAGAGATTACTTCACTTGTGCCACTTCTTTGCCTTTGCAGCCTTCGTTCGACTCGCTCCTCCACCCTCTCGACGATGCCAGGCATCCTGCGGCATAACCCAGCCTCGAATTCTCTTTGCCTCCCTGCGCTCCCTTTGTTGGGGTTCTGGAATCCATTTATCTTTTCCCTCTGGCAATATACGTTGACGAGTCAGGGCGCCTGTTCCGCCAACATTCAGGTGCCAAGATGCTTGACCTGGGAGGGGAACTCTCTTGGAAAGCATAAGCAGGTAATATAATGCCAATGTAGCTGTGAGAGGGCCGGAGAATCCGGCCGAAGACGGGTAGTTTTCTGGAGAAACAGACCGAGAAGACCCAGAATAGTCAGATGACTGGTATGAATCCGAAGAAAACGTACGCTCAAGAGAGCTTGCACCAAGGGAGTTGTAAGAAGCCGAAGATGTTTTGGTGGCAATTGGAGGAGCAAGTTCTAGATATCCAAAGTAAGGAACATCGTCACCTTCATCGCAGCCAGCCCGAACACAGACGAGTTCGATTTCTGTCATGATGAAGCCGTATCGACAGGAGTGTTCACGCATGCAGCGTTGCAGATGCGAAAGGCCATTGAGATACTCAACACGACGATGGGGTTGTTCATTACGCATCCCTGTGTTCCAGCGGTCAAAACTTTTGACCAGGCCAACAACTCGACCACGAGGAGATCCTGAGGCTGTGACCTCGGTATCAGAGGGATAATTGGCAAGAAAATGTGGTCCATTCTCATGATCAGCCACAGCGTCAGGGGCAGGATAAAGAGCCATGGAGTCGCGACCCTGGGAAACACGGAGTGCAGCATTGACCCGCGGAGCATAGATATCACGGACAAGATTTGCAAGAGCGAATTCCGAATCCGGTGCCAATCGGGATGACGACACATGGGTTCGCGGTGCGAGATCTTGAGGAATTTCCGTCGTGAGGAGCTTGGTGAAATTTGGGATCTCGTTCAATGTAACAAGGGAGAAAGACGACCATCGGCGCAAATTCCGAACATCCCACCAGAAATGAGTCTGGTTGAGGCGAGATGCGTTGTATGCGACGTTTTGAACCAGGTTGACTGCCTGAGTGGGAGCAGTAAGATACTCGAGAAGTGTTGTGGAGGGAGGCGCATAGTCAACTTGACTTTCGATGCTGACTGGAGCACCAAGGGTTTTGCCTGTGGCACCTGAAAGTGAATATGTTCCCAATGTGTTATCATATGGCTGATAGCTCAAGGGTTCACGTTTAGGTGGAGGGTAGTTCAGGTATGATGGTGCCATCGACGAAACAGGGGACGTTGGGCTACATTGCGAAACGTATTTGGGGAGCTGCCGATAAGTTGGATATCCATAGCGATTCAGTGTTGTTTCATCTATGCTAGACACGGAAACGTTTCGAGAATGACTAGAACGCTTGCGAGATTCTACCGGGGGAACAGTGACAGGAGACGGCAGGGTTGACCCAAAATGGGAGCCAAGAAATGAGGCAGTTGAGATTGGGGAAACCAGGGGGCCTGCGGAGTCGGTTACCACTCGCTGCGCTGGAGGTCTAGAGACTGGATATGGAGCGTAGCCAGGAGGGTTGAGAGTGCTAGCTAGAGCTTTCCGGTGGCGCTGAGGACCCCTCTGGGAGACTGGTTCATCCACAAGATCCTGGGGGCGAATTTTCGGCAAGAGGGCACGGCCATGTCGGTAGTAACCAGGTGATCGGTTTGGGGTGGTAACATTTGTGATCACCGAGTCAGGAGAGGAGTCCAGGGTGTATAGCGAGGATGATCCTGAAGTGGAACGGCTGTGCACAGTCTCAGGGTAGTTTTCACCCCCTAAGAAAGTTGGAGGTGTTGTTGGCTCATAGTAATACAATCGTGAAGCCATCTGTGCAAAATTATAAGGGAGCCGAGAGGGCAAAGGAAATATCAAGCACAGGTGTGGAAAATATCAGACAAGAAAAGACAAAGCGGGATGACTAGGAGATGAAGGTGGAGAACACAAATCAGAGAGAGATTGAATGAAGTAAGGAAGGCCAGCTTCCTGCAATTGCTGATGAGAGACGAAAAAAACAAACGGACAAGCAAGGAAACTGACAAAGGAGATTCGTGATAGCCCTTCTCAAAAGGGATGCAATATTGACCAGTAAAAAGAGAAAAGGAAACGAGGAACCTGACAGCTGAGGAAAGTAATGAAATGAAAGCACAAACCAGAGATCAGGACGGGCATTGAGGATATTAAATCCTCGACGGCCAGACCTGATCGCGAAAAGCGACGGCGGCATTCCAAAGAGAGGTTCATGAACACGGTCAACATGAAACAAGTTAACCAGGTATGATAAGGAAGAAACCTTTTTTTTTTTTTTGGAGTGGAAACACGGCTCCCACCTCCTGCCGATGAGCTTGGAGCTAATCCTGTCTCCGTTCATAGAGGGCATTTGCTGGATGGCGCTCCTACGCGCGCGCGGAATCCTGGATATCACGTTGAGGAGCGTTCGGAGAGGTTCTATCTGGCTCCGCTGAGTGGGACAAACCTAGTTACGGGGTTTCATATTTTTTTGTTCTCCAACGGGGACTCCCCTCGGTAAGATATATTTGGGTACATGATGGGTATTTCGAGGTCAATCTCGATGGCAACACCGGCCGGCGCTTGCCCGGGAAGCCCCAAAGAATCCTTCTGCCAGGCGCCTAGAGAAACACTGAACCTGGAGAGCGATGGAGATTCTCAGTCCCTTTCCAAGCGCCAGGGGATGGCGTGAAGCAGCAGGCAACTATACTGTACTATTTTTGAGAGTGTCACTGTGGAGGGGAGGGAGGGGAGCACGCAAGTTGCAGTTGGCGCTGGGCAATTTGACGAGAGGTGAATGGATGAGATGACGTTCCCTGGCGAGCGCGCTGATCGACGGCGGCGGTTGAGGGCGCGTCTGGCCAGTTTGCCGGCGTCGAGGCCTCTGATTGGCTGACGCGCTGGTTCTCGCTCTACCGGAGCCAAGCGTGCGATCCATTACGCTAGCCTAATCTCGTCTAGCGCGCTCCATCAGGAGTCCTGACTTAGCGCTAGTCCCGATTCAGCCTGGGGCGTACCGTGACCACGAGCAGCGAGCGCGTCTCGAAGTAGCGGCAGACTCTCAGCCAGCACCGACACCGCTCACCGACAACCGGACGCACCCGGCAACACCACGTCGCTGCGTGTCATCTGGCGGGCTCGTAGTGGGTTCCATACCAGACGATTGGCTGCGGGTGCTCCGTGCGTTTTCAAAACATGTTTCATCGTCTCCCGATCGAATGCCACTCGCCTCCAGTCTCTCGATTATCTCATGGCCTGTCCACACCGCCGAATTTTAGCCACTCAGGAAGGGTTGCACTCTTGGAAAGAGGGGAGGAGACGAAATTTTTTTTTTTTCCTTGACCGTTGGCGAGAGGTGTCATACCGCCCTCAATACGTGCTGTTAGTGGGGTTTAGGTGCTGCGTTTTGTTGAGAAGGAGATCTAGACCCTGCGATGGCTCGAGAAGATTCGTGAACCTGAGAGCTTTCAGCTTGTCCCTTGGCTATGGGACAAACTTTTCGGACGGCGGATGCTCACGGGCGCTTTCATTGCGAATATACGCTAGTGAGTAGCTTTTAAAAGTATAGTATCTTCGAAGACTTTATCAATGTTTGTTGCTTCATTACAGACGATTGAGGCCACTGGCCTGTTCAGAGTGTATAATTACCCAATCACTCTAAATCTACGTAGGATATACTCCGTAGTATGAGTTCCCAACTGCGGAAATAAACGGATGCTGAGCGTCATGAAAGTGACGTGATTATATGGAGATAACTACTCCGTACTCTGTACATAATGAATACTTCTGTAATAAATACCTTGATTGTGGGAATTGTCTCGTAAGCCTTGATATCGACACTTCAAATTCCATGCCATTATCACAAAATGGCTGCAGCACCAGCGCCTCTCTCGATCAGATACGCCGCCGAATCCGACCTCCCTTCCCTTGGACACCTTGAGATTGTTGCATTCCCAACTTCCAAATATCTTTCCAACACTTTTCCCAATGCCGACCCGCAGGTACTGCAGAACTTCAAGTCAGTTCTGCTAGGCGGGTCACTGCCAGACCCAGAAGTCCACGCCCTCGTAGCCGTCGATCCCAGTACGGATCAGACCGTAGCATATTGCCGCTGGACAATACCCACGGCGTACGGATATGGAGACGCACCTCGAGCTGAGATATCCTGTCAGGCCGCCGCAAGAGCGGCAAAGGCGCTGGAATACGCCCCTGAGTCTACGAATAAGGAGATCTATGACATGTTTGCATCGCTTCTTAAGGCGAAGCAGAAAGTGCACACCCGAGAGGATGATATGAGTATTAGCAACTCCCTCCCCCTCCCCGCCATTCGATGTACCCAGTCCTGCGTATCAAGTCGATTTTGCCAAATAGAACCAGCTGACTTCTGATCAGTCCTTAACATGCTTTGCGTGTTACCGGAATACCAAGGAAGAGGGATTGGGAAACAATTTTTGAAGTGGGGAATGGAAAAAGCGGATGCAAAGGGGGCGAGGATTTATCTTGAATCTACCCCAGCGGGGTATCCGATGTATCAGAAATACGGATGGGAGGCCGTTGAGGAATGTGTCATTAACTATGTGCCATTTGGGGGCGAGGGAACCCAGACGTTTGTCTTCATGATGAGAAATCCACGGACTCCGAACCCTGCCCCGTAAACTGCTTCGAGGTTCTGGTGTACTAAATGACAAGACAAGTGTGTGAGAATAGAATAGGTGTAATATTAATGGATGTATGCGAGTAGTGTTGACCCCGATAATTTATTAATCTGATTCTTTCCTAGCTGATTTAGTTTCCCGCAATCCCATCCTATCCCGTTCCATCTAGCACATAGGCATAAATTAAAACCGCATAATCGTATTAAAAGAAGGCCATTATCAGTATTTCCCAGCATAAAAAATATGAAATGAATTTCTTTTCCAACAAGTCTATATGCCCCAGCGTCTAGGTACCTGGCACGCGCAATGACCCATTATGTAACTGACGGTGTTAGAAAAGGAAGTAAATATAAACGAGTTTAGACGTAGGGGCGATCGCCAGATTGCCCGGATTGACAACGCCCCGTAAAGAAAACTTATGCTTTGACCGCGTATTCTCTCCGGAACATGTCGTCAACCTTGGTCAGATAGTAGGTTCCTGGAACAAGGTAATCGATGCTGCCGACAGGAATGAAGTCCTTTTTCAAGTGAGCTCTCTCGCGTAAGAGACACATCTACAATATAGCTGTCAGTTTCATTACAAAACAAAAAACATGAAACACTCGCAGCAGCAGGGTCGCAAGCTTACCTCGTCATAAACTTCTGGCGGAACAACTCGTCTGGCATCAATGCGCTTCTGCAGATCCAGCTTCTGAACGATTCCTGAAACATCGCCAACGATCTTGATGCTGAACATGGAGCTGGCAAGGCCACTACCGTAGCTGAAAATTCCAACTCGCTTGGGTTTAGCAGGGTCGAATGTGCCATTGCACAGCAAGCTAGCTAAGCCTCCATACACGCTAGCACAGTACATGTTACCGCACATGGTGGCAACTTGAATGGAAGGCTGGACCCGCTCAGTGAATCGCTTCTTGGTGAGGGCCATAAAAGTCTTTTCGACACTCTTGTCGGATAGGGATTTATCGTAGTCAAGGTCGCGGAGTTCGGCTGGGACTTCGGCAAAGGCAGGATGGCTCGGGTTGGCCAGGAAATCGTTGTATAGGAGTCTGCCATAGGACTTCGAGACAAGTTTGCAGGTTGGAGCATGGAAAACCATATGATCAAAACGATCAAGAGGAGTTTTCGACTCGTCATCGGGTGCTTTCGCTACTCCGTTGACAGTCGGGGCTAAGGCCTTTTCTCTAGCATTGTACGCTTTGTAGCAAGCGTCGACGGCTTGAGTATAGCATTTAATGGAGAAATGGCCATCAACATATGGGTATTCACTTGTTAAATCTGGCTTATAGAAATCATAAGCGTGAGTGATGTAAGTGCCGCGCAAACCGCTGTCGAAAACGATTGGGGCATCGGGACCAATGAGCATGGCAACGCAACCAGCACCGCCAGTAGGACGAGCATTGCCCTTCTTATAAAGGGCGATGTCTCCGGCTACTACGATAGCATCTCTTCCATCCCACGCGGACGACTCGATCCAGTTGATCGAGTTGAAGAGAGCATTAGTACCACCATAGCAAGCATTGACGGTATCCACGCCCTCAATGTTTGTATTACCAGACGGGGCAAACAACTGCATCAAAACCGACTTCACGGACTTGGACTTGTCAAGAATAGTCTCAGTTCCCACTTCGAGGCGGCCAATTGACATCGGGTCAATGCTATACTTGCTGAGAAGCGACGAGAGGGTTGTGAGAGTCATGGAGTAAATATCTTTTCTCTTGTGTCAGCCCTGGCTCTTAGCCGACGTTCACGCGAAGATTTATAGAACTCATTACCTTCTCTGTCATCACAGAAGCTCATTTTCGTCTGGCCTAAGCCAATGGTGTACTTCCCCTGGCTGACTCCATCGAACTTTTCAAGTTCGGCCTGGTCGACGCACTGAGAAAGGTTTAGCCACAGTCAATTGCACCCACAACACTCTTCTTCGCCTTACCTGACTGGGGAAATAGACCTCAAGGGCCTTGATACCAATATTCTGAGGACGGGATGACATGGTGGCGCACAGGCGTAAGCTCAACAGGCCAAGATAAAAGTATTATGATTAAAAGAAATGTAAGGGAGAAATAGGTATTTCAAGAATTCGGCAAGGTATCTAGAGCGCATAGCCCAAGAGCAAAGTCAGCAAAAGTTCTCAGCAGTGTTGGGTGGGGAGATTGGAGTAGCGCGCGGACAGGAGTGATCCAGGGGTAGGATGAGAGCAGGACCAGTGCCACCCACGTATATTTGGAGCTCTAAAACCAGAGAGAGCACTTGGATGGTATCTTTGAAAGAATGAACGTGAACTAAGAATCAAGCGTGCGATCGTTGAGGAAGGGAAATGATCATGGATGTTTGGGGGTTGACCCTTTCTTTTAAATTCTGCCGCCTGGGACATTTCGCGGCCGTACAACCAAATCCACTCGGTGACTGAATTTGAGTTTGCGCTAATCTAAGCCAACAGAACGCTTGGCCGTTACAGGGATGAAACTTTTCTTTGGCTGACGGGAGCCAGCTTTGAGTCTTCGCTGAGGAGGAGAGTGACAATCCTCCAATGGCTCCAACAGCACAGAGCAAAGGTTTGTGTCTTTGCTTTCGTATGTATCTGAGAAAAATATCATTGTCGCCTTTGTCCTGCTGAGTTTTTAGATTTCGCTTCCGGCAGCCCACTGCGATCGGGTAGCAATCTGATAAGGAATTACTCCACTTGACTTTAACCTTCCGAATGGCTGGTATTATATTACTGTAAATTGGTTACCGCGTTGAAACACCCGGAGCTTGCAACATCCAATAGCCGGCGAAAATCCCGTACAACTCGTGAAATTTCGTTACTCACACAAGCCACTTGAGGACTTTCTGGGGCTTGGCATGGTAATTTTTCCTTGCGTTTCAACCCACCTGGGGCAAGATGGCAGGGATCAGATAATCGTGAGAGCTCCTCTTTCGGACCCGCGCGTGAAATTCTGAAGGATTTCGATTTGGGCAGGTGCTGCCTTTTTCGGGCCCAAATGACACCAAAAACGGCCGCCCCGGCCCATCCGCACTGACTCACCCGCCGTGTGCATAACAACTCCAACTTGAAACAACCTCAAGCTGTTGGGACAATTTTTGAATATCTCCACAACCACTGATCTATTTGGCTCACACAGTAGCTCAATCTACTCACCAGAGCCCTAGGTATCACCCAATACCAAGAATAGTATGGCAAGCAGCCAAACTGCCCCTTGGGTGGGCCTCCAGCCCCAAAGCATACATAACCATGCAACCCAAATATAAGCAGATATCAAAGCTATTGAGAAATTCTGATTGAATATGCTAGACAAGAACAGGAATTCAATATAAAGCATAATAAGAGCTCTGCTAGACAGTATGAAACTTGTAGGAGGTTGAACCCCCTTTTCTCTCAGGCCGAGCCCTTGATGCCATGCTGTGCAAGACCTCCACACTATTCCTCTTTTTGGCCTAGCACCACACACAAACATTATGTATATATTGTACTACACATGCTTGCCTATTCTCTTTTCTCTTCTTCTTCAAGCAATATATTCATGTATATAGAGTCTTAGCTAGTAACTTCAGCTTGACCCATAATATTACATATTGCTTCTTTTACTCTACAAAATAGATGCACACAAACAAAGATATAGAAGTAAATCACTGTCCTGGAGATACCAAACTTTCGAAAAAATGGCAGTCAACAGGGGACAGCACAAAGGAGCACTACTTCTGGCCCTTTGCACAGATCATCAACTACTCTGGGAAAACCTGGAACACCAGATACAGCTATTTGATTACTCAAAGAGAGCTGGTTGTTTTGCGCATCTCTAGAGCAGTCATTGGTTCAGGGATCGCCCAAACTAGGTCTTCACGTACTCCCGTGCAAACACCCACAGGAGAGCATGAGGGTACCTATAGCCCCCTTTTTGTGCCGCCGTCCAGCCCTGTAGCTGGACAGTCAACAACCCCTGAGCGGCAATCCCACCAGAGCAATGTTTCAATTGGTTCATCAGTGAGCCCGTCCGCTAGGCATTCTGCTAGTCAGTCTCCAGAGCAGCTATCGCACCATCAACACTGTGTCCCAGTTACTTCAGCATCCAGCACCATGTCAACTGACTAGGTCATCATTAGCAAAGCCTACGACCATATCGGAATTTTGTAGGCCTGAAAAACCATGGAACCCTGATGAACCCACTGTAAACAGCGTCTGAAAGATTCCCACAGCACAGATAATATATTTACTGTTCCTGAGTAGAAAATAATTCTTATTTTTAAAAGATTTCTCTGTCTGAGAAATATTTCTGATTGCTGGTAGAATGATTTCAGAATGACAGAAATATTCTCAGAGTTGTTAAAAATATTAATAAAAACTTAGTTAAAATACTATCAGAAATTAATTACTATATTCTGATTTTAGATACTTATTTATTTCTACAGAGTATTCTGACTGACGGACGGCAAGCGGGGCGCCAGAAACGGCTCCCATTGCTCGCCGTCCTGCCGCCGCTGACCGCTTGCCGCCCACGGTCATCTCATTACTACAAACGGCATAGCGCTTACCATTTTCGGCCTAGATACGCCTATTGGATCAGGGTGCTCTATTCAGGGAGCTGCTGGATACTGCTCTTGATCAGAAAGCTTGGAAAGCTCGGTACTGCAGTCTCCAGGTCCATACGAGCCGACTGTTATACTGATCGATCTGACCATCTTAAGGGACGAGTTTCTGCTGGAATCGAGCCAGCTCTACCAAGACATTCAAGACGGTGATACCATCTGGTCGAGTCAACAAGAGATGCCTTGTCCATATCCCGAAACCCCCATAGTACCACAGAGCATATTCGACAATGACCGCCTCCCGATTGGGCTGATCGACGAGGATAGACCAGGCACCCATCGTCATGGTGGTGAACGCGATCGAGAGATATATCTAGGTAGTCATGCTCAAAGCAATGGATCCTCGCTTCAAGGCCCACAGCAACATCATCGCAGTAATGACGTTAACTGGGCTGTATAGCTTAAGCAGCTATTAACTGGGTTAAATAAAGGCAAAAGGCGACCGTACAAGCGACAAAGACTTGAAGAAACAACATCTTCGCCAACTAGGAATTCTTGCGACGCCCTCCGTGTTCACTTTTTGTCGTTGCCAACAAACGCGCGCTTAGTTTCTCTCCTGGTTATTTGAAGGTTCACTCCCACAATGCACATTTGAACCTGAAATCACCGCCAGCATCACACCTGCAAAGAGGAAAGTCAATACAGGAGTCCGAAAACAAGTCCGCTGGGCCACGCCTCAAGGGAATGCAGGAAATCTGGATGACAGCGGCTCCCTTGAAAAATCCAGGAAAGGGGTGCCATGGTTACCAGAGGAGGAGAGTCTTTTGCTAGAATTGAGGAATACTCGGGGACTACCTTGGTCTGATATAACGAGGTTATTTTCGGATCAATACCCTGGAAGGAGCCAGGGCTCCATTCAGGTATATTGGAGTACCAAGCTCGAGGGGAGGCAGTCATGACGATGCCTGTACTAATGTGCGCTGGTCACTTCCATATCCCAGAGGATTCGCTCACAGCGCTTCGCTCTCACTTCCTATCTCTGCTTGTTGAGGAACGTTTGTAACCCCCTCCTCGCCTGTCCCTGCCAAATCACAGGCCTAGCCTGATCTGCCAACAACTGAGAATGGAGATATGTGGGGAGCGAGCAGTTCAACGGATCTGCCTGGTTTCACCGAAACCTCTGGAGTTGCGGGAAGGGCGTGTCGTTATCATCTGAAGACATGAAACCTTGTACGGAGAGGTTGGGAGGATGAGAATTCGACTCGGTCGGAGGGTAGCAAGCTTATTCTCGGACGAATCTTCCGGCTTCTCGGAGCATTTGCTGATGATTCTTTCTATCTTAGCCTCCGGACCAACTATGTTTGTCACTTCGCACACGTCGCATATCATGAATTATAACGTCCACACCGACAGAAGTATCAATATTAGCAATGTGTTGCGGCTCATAACACCAACTAGCAAACTTGTAAGGGTGGTTTAAGACAAGCTAATACTCCTTTTCATCCACCTACTTGGGAGATGTACTAATGAATACAGTTGGAATGGTGATTGCAGGAAGTGCCTCTGAGTCGGGATGACGATATACTTAAAGATCGGTATACTGCTTGGTGATAAGGAGAATTACTCTCAGTGCCATTAGCGTGCCAAATAAGGGACATTTAGAAACCATCTCCGAGAGCACATTATACTACTGATTGTCTAACCAAGGGTCTGTTAAAAGTTCACGAGCGCTCTCTCTCTCATCTGGGTCCCATCGAAGCATCTTCCTAACGAACTTCATAAACATTTGCTTGTTAGCGCCCTCCAGATATTCTTCAGAGTCCTCCAATGAGATAGGTGGGATCACTTCGGAGGCTTTCCATTGGCCTAGTTGTGGAGTTAGTTGGAGAAATGAACTAAAACAAACATCGGGTAATGGAACATCACCTGAGATGTCCCAGTATTTTTGACTGAGGGAAGATCTGCGAAGAAACTTAGCAGGTGGAGGGCCGAGCATTGCTATCATTTCGGCGAGAAGTTGCGCATCAGAATGACAACCATCCGGCCCCCCTGCCATCAAATAGATGGTGATCCTCAAAGAGGTCCCAGATCTTAATCTCTTAGTCAGCCCACGTCTCAATGGATAGATTGGTGAAAGTTGTGGTTCGTAGCCTACCAGCACTCCAACGTTCCATATATCAACTTTTGCTGTCCAACTCATCCCAAGAATCACCTCGGGGGCGCGGTAGATGTCGGGCTGCACCAATCCATCGTGTACCTCCCCGATGCGAGCTTCTCCAAAGTCTGAAAGCAGTGGCATCCCAAAACCACTCCATCCCTTCTTACGACGAAACGCTCGAGACAAGTAGATAGTATAGTCGTCATTGACCTTTCGAGGGCTCGGGTCAGCAGCCTCGCTGTCATCCCATTCACGGAAAATTGAATCGTCCTTTGCGCTGATAATAATATTCTTTGCTTGGATGTCTAGACAGGATTTAGCCATTTATAGAGAGTGGGTTTCCTTAGATCCACAGACCAGTGTGTATAACGTGTGCCTCTGAGTGTAGATAATCAAGCGCCAGTAATAGCTGCTGCAATGCCCCCTTCAGCAAGTCCTCAGGAAGGCTTTTCGGATCCAATGTTGCTTGAAAATGAAGAAGGCTGGTCAAAAGGGGTTCGTAGACAATGCACTGGTGGACGCCTCTTGGCCCCGTGAGCTCGAATTTATCTACCATTTTGCGGACGAGGCTGCTGCCAGGATGATTCGATCTTATATTTGAAAGGTGGTCAAGCACGCGCACCTCCTGATTCTCCCTGGGGCTGCCGATAAATATTTTCAAAGCTATATACCGATGTTGTCTGCCAAGTCAGTTAGCATCAACTCGAAAGACTGATAAAGGTAAGCTATATTACCGAAGGTCACGACAAAACCAAACCGTCGAATTTGCTCCGTACCCCAATTTGCTGATCACTTGGTATCTGGCATGAAAGATATCACCAAGTTTGACTGGAAAATAAAGCCCTCGATCATACGCAGGCATTCGTTCTTCCTCGACTCTAGTTGCAGAATCAAGAACGGGGAAATTGGAGGTGTTGGGTGTTCTAGGGGGAGACGGCAGCCGTCGAAGAAACCGGCCGAGCCGAACGAACGGGTTCATCGTAGGGACCTTAGAAGGGGGAGGATCACCAAAGTGGCCTAAATCCTAGACATCGAAAAGTGTTAAATAGATTCCAGTGATTGCTTGAGGTCAAACCGAAGTAGAGTGCAAATCTGAAGAATGAGAGAAATTCGAGGCCAAGTCTTGTCCATCGGATCCAGATAGGCGCGGTACAGTCAGCGGCCTTGTAGGAAGCGAGCTGTGGTGGCGCGGTCAAAGGATCGGCTCACGAAATGCAGCAGACGATCAACTGACAAGCCTGTGAGATTATGGGACTGCTGAAGACGACCCCAGTAGGTCTCTTGGATAGGGAAGTGGGACTGGCTCCGGTCCATGTCCTTCTTGAGTCAGCTGAGGTACAAAAGCCCTTCTGGTCAGCTTTCGGGTGACAAAAATGTGCAACCTGGGAGCACATCCCTGGGAGCAGACTCTGGGTCGACCCTCACGGCCAGGGATCATGGTCATTACGACAGCACCTGGCTTGATAACTGGCCAAACCATCACCCCGGCAGATTCCTCTGCAGGATTTGATGGTGCTTGATGTGTTGATGGTAGCGGATCTCCAGGGTGGATCATTGCCCAGAGATACAAGGATGCTCTCACTGCGGCGAGGGCAATTCAACCAGGCCACGCGACCTGGTCGGACGGACCAAGACTTGAAAATGGCCGCAACGGAGCTGGGAATGCCTGGCAGGAGCTACCCCAGGAGTGGGAGTCCGGGAGCTTTCCTCTTGAAAAGGGACAGGTGGTGTTTTAATGCAGAGCTTGTAGGAGTTGTGCAGGCCCTCCAGGCCACACTGAAAATGGATAGTGGTGGCCCAATCACAGTTCTACTAGACTCTCAAGCTGCAATTGCAAGGCTGTGACACACATGATCTGGCCCTGGTCAAAGACTGACACTTCGAGCTCTTGCTGCAGCCAGGGACAGGAGTGAAACAGACAACCCATTATCTAATGGGTGCCCGGCCACGCCGGCATCGAGGGAAATGAGAAGGCGGACGAAGCGGCCAGGCGCAGCCAGTTGACTGGGTTGCCGCCCAGAAGGAATTGCAGGACTGTCACTGGTGTTTGTCAACTGGATGTGCACGGAGAACATTCGAGATCGCAAACAAGCCAGGCTTGCCCAGGCTCTAGCATAACTCACTCACAGCAACCAGCGCGCTTACCGACCAAGTTGAGGCTGGACCATGGACCAAGTTGCATCAGAAGTGGCCAAACTGCTGGCCACCCGTTTCTTCCAGTTGAAAGAAAAGTGGACATGCAATGATTGGAGCTCACCTCCACTAAATTCATGCTCGGGACACTCCCGCGTACAAGAAAGGTGATGCACTAACAGAATCCGTGCATCACATCCTCTTTGAGTGTCGAGCGCGGCAGCACCGGGGGGGGGGGGGGGGGGGGGGGTTCCAGCTCTACCGAGTGGTAGATCGGGCTGGGGTAACCAGGCCTCCCACAGCTGGAGAATGCCCAGAAGGTAGGCTGCTTGAGGAACTGAAGGCGACAGCGGCATATTACAATTTCTGGCCGCAAGGAAAACAGCCCTACCTCAAGACCATCAGCTGGCCCTGGCGGAGCGGGCTCGAGGTGGACTTGGAGGAGGTTGAGAGGATAGAGAACAGATAGCAGGGAGGGTAGCCTACTCACTCCAACTAGAAGACACCCAATCTGCTTAAGATGCTGAGGTGTGTCAGTTATGGCTCAAATGCCCTGCGGAAATAGGCGGCTTGGGGCGAGGAAAAGGACCGGACAATATTTCAATGGGGCTCACACCCGGGAACTCAAAGGAGGGGAGATCTGAAAGCAGCTTCACTGAGTGGTACACACTCGGCCTCGGATTCGTGATCTGTCATAGCTTTAGGGATTGATATAGACAATGACCCTGGTTAATCATAATAATAATACCTGAAGGCGCCTACTCTCTCGGAAGGTAGGGCTGGGAAAGTGAAGAACCTGGGGAGACAAGACCAATGTTAGAGAATCAGTTCTCCGGATGCTCCCCAGTTAGAGGACAATTGGATGAAGGAATAGGATGACTGCTGGCTGCTTTTAATGGGTAGAGGGAGCCGGCTTTTATAGACCACACACGGCGATGCCAAGCGGGTTGAGGCGCTGAGGCGCTTTACCTGATTTAGAACACCATACAAGCTCCACTAACTCATCACCACAGACTCTGGAAGGGCCATTCTTGTCAATGATAAGTTTATCCGTTCAAATGCATTACATGACCTGTGTTGGGGCTCCTCATACCCAGACCACAAGACTCACTGTCTGAGGAAGTGGGAGAACCTGCCACAGGTTGTGTGGTAAGTCCCTGCAGTATCAGAGACCCAGTATCAGAGACAGCTTTTTGAAGTTCTTCCAGCCAACCCCAGTCTTACAGCAGAACAAACTTCATCAATAACTCTGAGAATTGTCTCTCACTGCAGACTTCCATCCTCTCATCTGCCATTTCCACATTTTCTGACTGGCTCGCTACAACAATGTGTGCAGAGAATGAGATGAGGATGGTGTATTTTCTCTGGGTGATGTGGCACTAGTGCCTCAGAATGATGCTGCAGAACAAGCCATTGGAAGCAGTGTCATCATCTTGGCTGGCACTTGAGCTCTGTGGATTGGGCAGTGCGACAGAGCCAATGATTGGCACACACACTACAGTCTATCATTGATGTCTTGGAGTCTGGTGAGCTGAGACTGTCTGGTGGCTTCGGACATCTGCCTTCCCAGGCCATTCAGGGGAGATAATTGTGTCAAATCTCGAAGGGCATGAATTTTTTGTATGAACAATAGAAGATGATGTCCAGACTGTTAAATACATAATCCAAGAGAACGACCAGTACTCTGTCCTTTGAGGCATTCTTGATGGAGAGCCAGCTGCAGTGTTGTTTGTGGAGAAGATCAGCGATGCAGGGGTGGGATTTAAGAGCAGGACGAGTGCTTGTCGCGCACATGGGTAACACATCAATCACATGTCACTGCATCTACACAGCAACAAAAATTGTCAACAGGGCAAACCCCGAACCATTCGTCAGACGACCATGGCAGAAGACGCCAGCTCCTCCAATGGCCCCCGCCCAGCAGCTTCGCCCTCTCCACCACCTCCAGCTCCTGTGCCTCTGACTCCCGGTCCACGCGCCGCATATCTTCAGAAGATCTTTGACCAGGCGTTAGCGCGTACTCTGCGAGCAAATTCTTATGCAAACTTCTCGGGATGCTTCCCAACGCCCGCGAAGCATATTCCGGCCAGTCTAGAGTGGGTCTGGAGAAAGCTGAATGCGAAGCTGGAGGAGAGCGCCAAGGCGGAGTTTAAGGACATTCTTCGCGAACGCGATGTGGTGAGACAGCTAAATGGGCTAGACAGACTTGTTGGGGAGGCAAAAGTTAGAAGAGAAAACGGGCAGGGTGAGGGTGATGTTGTGTATGTGTTCATCAAGTGTTTACCTCTTTTGTGGTGGGTGACCTGAACTGACGGACAATGATGATTCCAGGTCACATACATTGCCGCCAGATGAATTGTATCGCGCGCATTTGACTCCATATTTACAAGAGGCACGCGTTAGTCTTTATTCCAAGCTAGAGTCTACTGAGGTGGCGAACGTGAAGCTTGCAGAGCGGGTTCAGGCTCAGCGGAAAGAAATTGAGGAGTTGCTTTTCAGTCTCGAGAATGTTGTCGGGGACTTAAAGGGTGCAGCAGCGGCCGCGAGACAGTTCAGTGCAGACAATGAGCTCCGCAAGGAAGCTATCCAGATGAATGAGGACTTCAAGATGACAGTGGACAAATGAACATCGCGCGCTCTACGGTTTGACGGGCGTGGGACATGAAAAGAAGCATTGTTGCCTACCTAGGTCAGTTCTCTACAGAATAAGCACAGCCTTCTGTGGGATGATGGACAGGTGCAGATGATGGCTGCCCATGGGGTAAGCGCTGCGGATGTGGGAAACCACAGATAGCCCTGATTGGACTGCTCCTAACCTGCTTTGTGTACAGGACCGTCCGCTTGAGGGTCGGACAAATCTTGAGTCTTTCAGGGGGAACATCCCACAGGAAGTTATGAATATGCTGACTTGGGCGTCTTGGGTACCGGCCATTGCATATTGGGAGATTCATGGTTCATGCACACGAACTATATGGTCTAAAGAATGAGGAGTTGATGAGATGTGTTAGGCCCCGGCTTTTCTCTTTATTGATCTGATGACAGATTGAATGCCAGACGATCTTCTCCTTGAGAGATAATGTTGTCCAATCTCTCCTTGATGGGTCGAGGACAGTATATTAGCGCCTCAGACCCCTCTTAAAGTTTTGTTTCACCCACCTCAGAGGTTGATGCACGCGAGTAAAACCTGCAGAGTTAGTGATTGGTTGCAGGGTCGCTCTAAATTTCCCAACTGGCCAAAGATTGAAGAACGAAAGGAGATGGAGGTCTTGCTTAGCCACCCTCCCAAGCACCACTTATCGAAAGATGAAGCTTAACGCTGAGCGGTTTTGACTGAGCATCGGCCTTGCTGATAGCTGTACTCCATTGGCCCATAAGACCCACCGGCTGAGGAAGTGGGTCTACCCATGCCGGGGTTCTGCGGTACCACTCAGTTGTTGTAGAAGGATGTTAGGTACACTATACACAGACAAGGACCTGGTGAGAGCTTAACGCCGACGAGATCCTGCCTAGATCTACAAAGCAAGATAGTCTACTACAGCGAGCACTCAAGAATGATGGGTAATGCTCCCCGTATCCAATCATCAGATTGACTCTTCAGAATAAGCGCCAGTATATATTTTATCACATACCCAGGTGAAAGGGGATGGAGATAAGCGCCCACAGGATTTGGATCTTCCAGCTGGTGCGGCTGCAGTCAAGAAGTTATTGGTCATTCATCAAAGACCATCTGGTGTTGGCATCTCATTTGACTTCAAATACGTGATGACGAATAGCCACCGTCCATTGGGGCTTCACACGAAACACCACTATGCGCCAGGAATACTGCGGGCATCTAAATTCTGAAAGTTGCATGTCTTCCATAGCTATGAAGGACATATAAATGAGATCCTTGCCAGCTACTACTCTCCATTGGCATCCAACAATCCAACTCTTCCAATATCTATCAGTCTTTGATTTCTATAAACTTTCCACCTGTGCTGCCCTCAATGTCTCGCACCATTCACTTGGCGATATTCTCTAATGGTGCCAGACCAGCTCACTATGCTGTCTTCATCCCTACTGGTGATGCAGGCAAAGTGGGAAAGCTTATCCATGTGACCGGAACCACCGCCACGGGATTCTTCCTTGAATTCAAGCGGAACTACGACTTTAGTCTCACTCAGCGGAAGCACCAGCTCATTCCACTCGCCCAAGTCAATGCCCAGTATATAACAGATACTGTTGGCACCGGACAGCAGTCCGCTGACACAACTGCTCGTGATCGACTGGAGTCAGTTGCGACAATTGTGCTGCCTCCGGGACGCAGCGCCAATCCTTTTGATCCATCGGTAAGCCAGCGTCACCATTGGAACAACCATGCATACCGATAAGTGTTATAGGCACCCAACTGCCAGAATTGGATGCAAGACTATATCCAGAGACTTATTGCCGAAGGCTTGGTTGCTAGCAGCGCCGGTTCGGTTGTTCAAAGCGCTCCGAGACTGCTGTGACCAGGGTGTCGCATTGCGGGCTCTGCTTTACTTGGATTCTTTGAGTGGTGCTGATAACAATTGTTGAAAGAAGGACTTGGTGGGACTTGCTTATTCCATACCCGGAAGGCTACTGTATGAAGTAACAAATCATTAACTGATCTGACGGGTATCAATGATCTTTGATTTTCTCACGATGGATAAAAGTCTCCCTGACTAGCCATCAGTGGCAACAAGCCGCAAGGAACATCCAAGCACTGTGTAACGACTCAACATCCCATTGCCGTTGTGTAGTAGTCCCATGGATCCCAAGTACTAGCAAATTGATCCAGAATCATGGGCAGGTAGGTGGTGGACCATGGTTCAGCTCTGTCAGCGGTATATTGCGCCTTGCGAGACTCCCAGTACGCAGGCAGCCAACCAGATTGCTCCCAGTCGACAACCGCCAGAATACGGTATGGGGGTGTGGGTGCGACGATGATGTTACTGCGATGGAGATCGCCATGAGTGAGTTTGATTGCACAGTCGTCCGGGAGGTCATGGCGGAATGGTTCCACTGGAACTGAGTACGGATCTGACATCGGTCTTCGGTGAAGAAATGTAAACCAGTCGTGAAAGTCGCGAACTGTAGCGAAAGGGCCTGCTTCATGCATATAGTTCACATGAAATGCCCTGTCGTAAAGCGGTCCTTTCGTAATGCTGCCTACGAAAGAAAGATTAGCTGATGGCAATCAGTTATCCAAAGGGTACGCGGGATATTCGCACCTACAAATGGGTCCTGTGGGTCCTGTTCGACCTGTCGTAGGCGCTGGTAAATTGTCCTGAGTTCGCGACAGATGCCGGCTTTGTCCTCAGGTCCCATGATTGACCATAATTGCTCAAGCGATGTTCCATTCACATACTCCATGTAAATGTATTTCTCGTTTCCCTCGGTGCGCCAGCCATACACTTCGGGCACAGGAACATCCCCTTTGAGGAGTTCACGTACGGCATAGAGGCACTGAGCTTCGGATATCTGAACAGAGCTTCCCCACTTAACAAAGAGACCCATCTCTTCGAAGAGGACAGGTGGCGGTCTGACATATGGAGCATCCATTGAAAGGACTTTCCTTCGGTCAGGATACACTCCGGCGAGATGTTGCGCCTTAGCGCGTGCCTGCACTTCATCTGGTGAGGGTAATTGATCCCATTTTTCAAAAAAAGACGATCCTTTGGCGACAAAGCTATGATAGTTTGGAATCATTGATTGTGCAAGTCGCACGTGTTCCCTTTCACTGGTCATGGTGTGTGACTTCCGACGGTTGTGGCCCTTGAGCTGTTGTGGTGGTACCGTGGTTGTTTACCGCGTCAGTTGATCACATGATCTGGTTCTTGGCTTAGGCACCGACTCTCCACGGACGTCAGCTTTCCTAACCAGATGTTTACGTCACAGACATTGTAACCATGCAGTGTCCCCTGGAGATTATTTCTATCCAAATATGCGCTTAATTTCGGACAATGGAAGTAGTCAGAAGAAATTAGGCAACTTCAGGATCTATTGTGGGGCCAACTTCGCTGGACGTGGTTAACATGTCGGGTCATTCTGGGAGATACTGGATGACTTTCTCTCCTCGAGGTAATAGCATCTCAGAACTGTGGGGTAAATCAACATTTTATTGGCCCGCAAGCACTATGGACGGGTGTTCTTGCGCGGAGGCCATGATTGGCTGATCCTGTGGAGTGGGACATCTGCTCTTCCACAAGGACTTAAGGTTTCCATTGCCTCTATCTGCAATGCAAGTGACCCAAGTCGGGTAAGGGATAACGATTGCGTCCTTGTATCTCAGATCAATGCCATGGCAAATTAATCTGACCATCATTTATGATATTGCGGCTCATCCGCACCAGTTTTTGTTCACATCTTCTTTGGAAGCCATTTAACTGGAGCGACGGCCTCATCGACGGCGGCAGCCCATCTGCCGTCTTCTAATTTAAAAGAGTAGTTCTTGATTAAATATATACAAAGTAAGTAAATCTCAGAGAAATAAAATATTTTAGATATATAGTAAAAAAGTTTCAGAATTCTAATTACTAAAAATCAGATTACTGCTAAGTATTCAATGCCTAACTAATCAGTACAGTATAAAGACTTAACTTTTTAATTATAGAAAGTCTAATAATAATTGTAAGAATTCACCTGTGAATCTCTTACACAGACAAACAACATCTGTAAGAGCCAAGAGTCTCAGCTTATAAGCTGTTGGAAGTGGATGTGCACTAAGCAAGACACTAATATAAACTTGGATCTCGCCTTCAGTCTTCCCATCCCTCATACAATCATAGCAGCCATCATCAATTTCTTCTATGTCCTCTTTGATCCACCCTAATTCCCCGATTATTACATATGCAGGCCGTTCAGAAACCAGTGACCGCTAGAGAGCGCGCTTCGATTATAAAAAAGGCCCAGGAAGACGCGCTCGCTCGATTGCCTCTAAACACACTCTTCATCGTTCTTTACATACGATCCGACCCTCCCCAGTCAAATGACTTTCACTGGGGATATTACTTCCACACTAGCGCCCAGGGAGGGTTGAAATATCACATGAGAAACCTGGGCGGAGGATGGTTCCCAGATCATGGCCCAACCGGTGCGTTTTCAAGTCCAATTTCCTGTGCGTCCTTATCCAGATCGCAAACGTCCCACACGCAAAGCACGGTTCTCTCGACCAGATTATGAGATCTCGCGATGGAGACGTCAATTCAATTCCCGGTATAACCTGCCGAGTATGGCTAATGGTCATCTTGCGAGAGTTGATTCGACAAGGGATAGTACGCTGCAGCAATATTGAAGGTTTGCAGCAGGAATGTATGGCTTTCGGAAACCAATACAGTTCGGGAGCAGCGAACAATACCCAGCCACGACCTGTAGTAAGATCAACCCTGTGTCTGTGAAGGTAAATTAGGGAGGGAGCGCACGTCCTTAGCAGAGGAGCTGCAGAGATCTTCTTTTTTTTTTTTTTCCTGCTCTCTTGTTTATAACTCGCAATCGTTATCCGAATCCATTCAGCCAATGTGTGCATGCCTCTTAGCCTTCACATTAACAACTTAATGTCTAGAAGCCCCAGTCACTAAAGGGCTATATAAGAGTCAACTGTTAATAGATTTAGAGCCACATCGGATTCCAACTCGTCCAAATATTGTGCTCCACCCATCCAAGAGGCAACTTGGAACCACCAGCTGTCTTTCCCAAAGCGCATAGCCGTAGTAAATTCCCAGTATTCGGGATACCAGCCTGCAGATTCCCAGTCGAGAAACCCTGATAAATGTCCATCGTCATCGACAAGAATGTTGTGCGCTTTGAAATCCCCATGAGTGAACACTATCCTATGTTTATGGCTCTGTAATCTTTTTGCGCGTGACAGAGCCATTTGGTATCCGGTGTCGGATTTGAATGCATGGGCTGAAGCCGGAGCGAAAAGATAGTTGTAAAAAGCCTCCATGCTGGAAAAAGGACCCATCATGTGCCCAGGAACACGTGAACTCCGTAGGCGGGTTCCAATAGCAGAGCAAATCGTCTCTGACCCTGGAGAGTGCCACGATCGCATAGAGGTGATACATGATTTCAA